ACATATCAGCACACATGTAACGTAATAAAATAATACAGTGCACTGAAATTTTTTACTTTCCGCTTATAAACACAAACAATATGTACTGTAGCTGGCAAACTTGTTTTTTTCCATTCCAAAGTTTGTCTCTGGAATTTTGCAGTCAAGTGGATGTGATTGGCTTTATTTCTGTTAACAAGTATTAAAATCTGTTTTATAGTTTCAGCACAATGGAATATAGCAAGAGAACACCATTTCGACTTAATTTAGGTTCATTGGGAGCATCAAAGAAAATAGCTTATACTTTCATTATTTTCTTTACAGGGTACTTTGATTTTCTTGGTGTTACTTCTAAATTTTGGGTAATATTGGTTAAGTGTTGGTGAGCTGTAATCATGTCTAATGGCGATTATGATTTTGACGAGTAAGTACTAATCCCAGTCCTCTCATAATGTCTAGCTGGAAGCTGACGGGTTGTTTGGTTTCGACTGCTGTATGCTCAATGTGACCTGGGTTTAAGGGATAATTTATCATCATTTGATAGTATTTAAAGTTCCTTATTGTTTTTGTTAAAGGTTTTGTTTCATTATGCAGCACCATGTAGTACAAACAGTATATATACTGTATTATATATGAGGCACTCTTAGCAGCAACCTGGTTAGTGCCAAAGTGCACAGATTTAGTTCATATTCTGTACCATTATATTCTTCAGCATGTCATGGAATGTAAAAACAGAAATATCATAATATTAACTAGCATATACTGTCAATTTGCCTTGCCATTAATTCTAACGATAAGGCATTTTGAAAAATTAAAAATTGACTAAAATTTTCTAGCTTTTAAATTTTTGGTGTTTAGTCAGTTATACATAGTGCTTCATATAGTGTACTGTAGATCATTAACTCATTGACTTACACAAGAGTGCAATACAGGTACTGTTTTTATTCCAAACATTTAGATCAAAAATAATACCTGTACAGTGATTTAACTTTTTCATGATATGTGTAAATATTCATCAAGTATAAAAATAAGAAGTTGTACAGTAACTACATCAGATCGGTGTATCCCTTATACCCAAGGTAATAAAAATCAGGCTTACTCTGAGCACCCTCAACTGCAAGCTTCAGAGGATGCAAGCGGAACTGCATTGTATGTTTGTATCACCTATGCGGACCATCTTTTGCACCCTGATATCACCTTGAATCTAAATATTTTTAATAGTAAATTAAATGGAAACCAGGGTATGATCAGTATTGAGGGTTGTATTATTAAGAAACTGCTCTCTTAATATCACTAGCATTCATTGAATGAGTAAAGTCACTGAATTGTGCATATAGAAACTACTGTAGTTGTACTATTTTGTTACAATAAGTTTTTTCAATTTGCTTATTACATAATTTTGTTTTTTCTGTTACATTGACTCTTAAGATTTCAGTTGTGAGTGATGGTGATATAATGGAGAATGGTTTCTTGCATTTTCTCTCTCCATCTTTCTGATTTGAATCGTGTCATATCATCCTGTATTCAAAGGAGGATGTCATATACAGAACATAGCAACAACCTGCTGTTGGTGGAGGAGAAAGTCTTGAGCTGATTCTTAAAGTAGCTTCTGTTAGTGCAGAGGATTGTTAGATTTGCAGGTAGGGATTGCAGAGTATCTAAAGTCAGTAAATTACAAATTTGTGGTACTGTAACATTTCTTATCATTTTTAAATAGTGCTGAATGCTTTTAAGAATTTGAGCATCATCAGTATTATTGATTTTAAAATGGTAAAAAAAATAAAAAAATAAAAAGATTTCCTTTGGAACAGTACTTACTGTGTACTGTACATATATCCTGAGTTCTTTTTATCAGCGAAACATTACTCCAGCTGAACTTGTATAGGAGAAACTTCCATTACATAGCTCTTTTGTTTGCATCTATCCTATTGACAAATGTTTCACAGTACAGTACTGTACCAAAATTCTAATTATTAAAAAACATTTTGTGTATATTTGTCATTAATGAATGACAATAGTACACTTTATCAGAGTTTGTGTCTTGACTATCTATGTGCTTCTTTTATCATTCGGTATAGGATTTTTTTTCCTAGATGCTATTTTCATACCAACATAAATAAAACGTTAATTTGCACATTTTTGAAGTCATGAAGTCGTAAAGGCTCATATAATGCTATACAGTATAGTAATAACTATAATATGCCAATACAGTACACAGCAAATATTGGTGAGAAAATAAAATATCGCACAAGTTGGACTATGGGAAATTATTATTATTATTATTATTATTATTACTGTATTATTAATAATTCTTATTATTAATATCTTTTGTAGACAGGTTTTAAAAGCTGGTCATAGTGAATTGGAATTGCCTACACAATTTGTTCATTACTGCTAGAGTAAATAATTACAATGTTACAATACATTTTTTCTTGTATGCTGTATTCATTATGGGAAGGATTTTAATTACTGTATAAAAATACAGATAATTTACAGTTTAATCTTGGGCACATATTATGTGCGAGAGTGATTTAAAATAAAGTTTTCAGTACAGATGAAAGTCATCTATCTGATCAAGCTACTGTGTTGCTCACTCAGGCATGAGTCCTGTTTTCCGGGGGCTCGGCTGATTCCAGCCAGGGTGAGAGTGACCATCGTCCCTGGCATTCCAGTATTGAATGATATCAGACGGCTGAAGTTCTCAGTCATGTGAGAGCTGGACTCTCGTCTATGGGAGCACTAGAGCAGTTTTAGCAGAGTTATTGATCTCAAAGTTTTGAATCTTGGTATACTGAGATTCAGGGATGCAGGTTCGATCCCATCATATGGCTTAACAATTTTTTCATAGATATACAGTATCACATTCTTGTGATTTTATTGTGCACTGCACATGGATTTCTTATAGCTTGGTTTCACTAGATGCTTTTCTCTCCCTTAGGAAGACTTCCAAACATTTTTATAGTTTTATTTTTCAGTTCAGTAATGCCTAATAAGTTCTCTTTTGTACTCACCTATTTGTGTTTGTGGGGTTTGAGCTCTTGCTCTTTGGTCCTGCCTCTCAACTGTCAATCAACTGGTGTACAGATTCCTGAGCCTACTGGGCTCTATCATATCTACATTTGAAACTGTGTATGGAGTCAACCTCCACCACATCACTGCTTAATGCATTCCACCTGTTAACCATTCTGACACTGAAAAAGTAATTTCTAAAGTCCCTGTGGCTCATTTGAGTACTCAGTTTCCACCTGTATCCCCTTGTTTGCATACCACTGGTGTTAAACAGTTATCCTTATTCCTTATCTACCCTGTCAATTCCCCCTGAGAGAATTTTGTAGGTGGTGATCATGTCTCCCTTTACTCTTCTATCATCCGGTGTCGTGAGGTGCATTTCCCGCAGCCTTTCCTCGTAACTCATGCCTCTTAGTTCTGGGACTAGCCTAATGGCATACCTCTGAACTTTTTCCAGCTTTGTCTTGGGCTTGACTAGGTGCGGGCTCCATGCTGGGGCTGCATACTGTGTTCCCCATGTTAAGGTTTTTAGTTTGGTTTAGATTAATATTGCACCGTAACTTAATATATAATTTAGTAGACTACAGTACTAAATACAGTACTTTATTATTTAATAAAAAAAAATATACCTGGTATATTTCCACACACTAGATAAGTGTAATAAAAATAAAATATGCTCCCAGAAGTTATTTGTAATTAGATATTAAGGAATATTTTTGAAACTATTACACATACAGTAACAAATCTTCAGTAACAAAGTCCGAAATATGGCAACTTTTGATTTTGTAAATACGGTATTTCTCAGTTAATTTATAACTTGATAATAGAAAACAAAAGGATGATTTGTTTTGGGGTCACTGTTAGGTGCCAGTATTTACAGTATTTGTATCCGAGTTCAGTTTAGTTCACTTATTATGCACCCCATACCCATCTTGTGTGTGGTAGTGGAAAGGGCTACAGAGTCACAAAATAGGCTCAGGGACTGAACTCCAAAATTCATTTAGTTAAGCAGGTTACAGTTTTTATGAGCTAGTTACAAAATTCAGTGCATATTATTTGTATTTGAATACTGCTACAGCTAGAGAAAGCCTGCTGCCTAGATTTGAAGAACGATGAGGCATGTTGTATTCAGATAATAAGATAAGAAAATGTTAAGTAATCAGTATATAGGACAGTATATTGATAATAAAGTAATGCAAAGCTTACTGAAAGGCATAAATAGTACTGTACTTATTTATTGTAACCTAGTTCAAAACATTTTTTTAGGGAGAATGGGAAGAGCGAAGGAGTAATGCTTTTTTATCAATAACGGGTTTTGCAGAGATTACTGCAGACTAGATTATAAGGGGTCACCATTCTGTTATCTCTTAGACATTGCAATGTGCTTAAAAGACTCATTGGGTGCTTGAGGTCATACCTTTATGCAAGTGGAAAAGTTATAGGTAATTAAATTCGCATTGATCAGCATGCATCTTTACTGTACTGATAACTCGGCACATTCATAGTAATTATTTGGGACTCAGTAACCAAAATACTGTATTTTGTAATTCTAACTCAAATATCCTTGTCATAGAGGACAAGATAAAAATTAACATTTATTTGCATTTATGAGACATGATTTTGAGTAACTAGGTCCCGAATAGAATACTGTACAGTATTAGGGTATGGGTTTTGGGAGTGGTGGTTGGTTACCCGGTACCTGGCCTGGTGTCATTTGGAAATACATATACAGTAGATATATATATATATATATATATTTTATAAATATATATATACTGTATATATATTATTTATTTATTTATTTATTTATTTTTCTTACAGGACTGCAAAACATAATAAAGCATTGTATATTTATTAAAAATCTAGCTATAATCCACAGTATCGAATTTGGTTCAAGTACGCTTAAATGCATGATAAACATGTGCAGGCATTTTCATTAAGGAAATTTCAGATTTCATTCTGAATTTTTCATCAATTAATTATTAACTAATGTGTGGGTATCTGTTTATTAGCGGAAGCCGAGCTAGCAAAACATTCAAGCCCAAGAAGCACATCCCTGAAGGCACACATCAGTATGACTTGATGAAACATGCTGCTGCTACACTCGGCTCTGGGAACCTTCGCTCGGCAGTTATGCTGCCGGAGGGAGAGGACCTCAACGAGTGGGTGGCAGTTAACAGTAAGTACTGTTTATACAAATAAATCTGCTATTATCTTGTTGATTAGGGAATTAGCACTCTAACATATTGAAGAGTGCCTGTGCATTCCCCCTTCCCAGTCCAACCACTTGGGCTGAACAGTGAAGTGATGGTTTCGCTTCATGCAGGTCGGTGTTCAATCCCCGACATCCAAGTAGTTGGCCACCATTCCTTTTCCCCCGTCCCATCCTAAATCCTTATTCTGAACCCTTCCAAGTGCTATATAATGGCTTGGAGCATTCTCCAGATAGTTCCCTTCCCCCTTCCCAGTTGTAGCAAGCACAAGCAGGTCAAGGAAAGGGAGAGGAAAATACATGAATTATCACTTAACTTTTTAACTTGTAATCTGCTCATGTGACATGCACCCATTCCACACCACTGAGATGAGCTGGATAAGAGAAGGAAGGCACAGTGGTCAAGGTAATTCTTTGATTAATTTTATATTAGTATACAGTACTTTACTGTTTTAGTACTGTAGTTGGTGGTTGTTGCATTTAATAAGTGTAAATGCAGTATTCAAAAGTTATTGTTCTATTATATAGTAAAAATTTAAAAATTCATAAAACGTTATTATTATAATGATAATGAAATACTGTACTGTACAGTATTTCGTTTAGCACGTGTGATTGGGTTCTCACGACACCGGTGGTCTATCACATATTATTTCTACCAATAATGATCCTTCTAGGTGTGTAGCCTTGCTTTTATTCTATGCTTTAAGGATAACATATTTGCCTGAAAACAAAAAGAACTAAACAGATCAATATTATGTTACATTTGGCAATAATAATATTTTTCTAAAACATTTTATGATTATGATGAAGTCATAAAAACAATGTTTAGTTAAGGGATCTAATTTATATTATACTGAGGTAATTTTTGTATAGTTTGTTTTTAGATACTGTACTGTACCTTCTATATTTTAACAAGTCTAGTAGTATTTTTGAAGAGTTGTTGCCATATACAATCTCCGTGGTGTAGTGGTAAGACACTCGCCTGGCGCTCCGCGAGCGCTTTGTCATGGGTTCGTATCCTGGCCGGGGAGGATTTACTGGGTGCAAATCCTTAACTGTAGCCTCTGTTTAACTCAACGGTAAAATGAGTACTTTGTTGTAAAAACAATTCTTCGCGGCAGGGATCGTATTCCAGGGACCTGCCCGAAACGCTACGCGTACTAGTGGCTGTACAAGAATGTAACAACTCTTGTATATATCTCAAAAAAAAAAAAAAATATAAGTGTTTTCGTGTTATCCAAGTCGTTTAAGTGCTTTAGGTTTTCTTCCTCGAGTTGTGGTGCCTTGGCATCCAGCCATGTATTGGTGATATTACTTTATGATAAATTCATTAACTGGAGAAGAATAATTATTTTCTCAATAATTATGCTGTTTCAGTATAGAGTAGGAAAGTAGCATTTACTGGCTCATTTTATATTTGTGTTTTTCTTTTTTCAGCGGTAGATTTTTTCAACCAGATCAACATGCTTTATGGAACGATAACAGAAATGTGCACAGAGGAGTCGTGTCCTGTGATGTCTGCAGGTCCTAAATATGAATACCATTGGGCTGATGGCCAGACTGTCAAAAAGCCCATTAAGTGTTCTGCTCCTAAGTATATTGATTATCTGATGACTTGGGTACAGGATCAGCTGGATGATGAAGCACTCTTTCCATCTAAGATTGGTACGTTCTTTACAAATGGAATACACACAACACTTCGACAAAGTGTTTTTACGTAGTTAGAGAGTTGTGTATCTGTCTCTTCACTTACAAATGACATAGGGTGAAGCAAATGTTGTATAGCTTCTTTATCTGTTATATGTATCTTTAACTTACAATGGGTTCAAATAAATGAATTTTATTACTAAAAGTTTTCAACATAACGTATTGTGCCATTAGACGAGGTTAGTTCCTATTGTTACTCTCACATTGGGCCAGCTCCTGCATATTCACTCACATTAGGCCAGCTCTTACATTTACTCACATTATGCCAGCTGCTACATTTACTCTCACATTGGGCCAGCTCCTGCATTTACTCTCACATGTGAGAGTGAATGCAGTTTTTAAGATTAAGATCCCGATTTACCCCAGTCACAATTCAGTAAATAGCAGAGGTTTGTTGTGGATCCATGGTGCTCTCACTTGGGCTATATCAGAATGGATATCTGAGAGTGGTCTTCTGAAGATAAGGTATTCTTGCCAAGAGTGTCCATGATCAGCACTGAAGGGTGCCAGCTTTGGGGTAGTGATCGTGATGCACCACAAGTAAAGAATGAAGCATGAACCATGAGGAGGGTTGCACTTGAAGTATCCTGCAAATGTTTTGTCTCTGCTTAGCTCCACATCCTTTACTATACCGTACTCCTCTGTACTGCCTTGTTCTAATTTCTAGCTCAATATTTTTATTTTTCCTTGTCTTTTTCATTTGACTCGAGGGGTGGGTGGGTGTTCGGGGATCTCCTCAGAACAATAGCTTACCGGTGTGTAAATTTAAATCAAATCTTAATTTGTATCAATGATTTTTAGTGCAATTTAAATACAAATTATTTTTACTTCTTTTTTTATTTATAGGTGTACCTTTTCCAAGGAACTTTCAAAGTAACGCAAAGACAATACTGAAACGACTTTTCCGGGTGTATGCGCATATCTACCACCAGCACTTCTCAGAAGTTGTACAGTTGGGTGAGGAGGCACATCTCAATACTTCCTTCAAGCACTTCATATTTTTTGTCCAGGTAATGTTATATTGATTGCATTTCCTGTATAGTATTTAGAGTGCTGAAATTGTTTAGTTTAGGGACAAATTAGAAGAGAATTACTCATCATATACTGTAACTACTATGCCATTACTTGGACTATATGCACATATAATTATGGTGTGTGTGTAATTTGAACACATTAACATTTCACTGGTAAAAGGATAATTTAATATTTAAAAACCAAAGCCTACCCCTTCCCTTCTTTGGATTACCACCGTTCTTAAATTTGAGTGGGTGCATGCTTCAGCAAACCCCAGAAGGCAGTCAGGTATAGTTTGTGAAGCCCTTCTTTTTATCAAAGGACAGTAATGTATGAGTGTTTCTTAAGGGATGAGCCGTGTGGGGTTGCTGGATATAAAGCCATTTACCCTTCAGTTGGACTCCTGCTGAGTAGCCAAGCCGAGATAGTAAACAAATTCAAAAGTTAAAATATTTTATTAATACGATGCCAGTGACTTCGTATAGCGATAGAGAAATTCATGTACTGTACCTTATTGCATTATACTTTATAATTAAAATGAAATTAATTCAGTGTGTGACTAGAAGGTAAAAGTTCAGTGTTGGTGCAGCATTCTGTAGCCCGACCTAAAAATATTATTTGTTGTTTTCAGGAATTCCAGTTGATAGAGCGGAAAGAACTTGCACCTCTGCAGGAGCTGATTGACAAACTTTCGGCCAAAGATCGATGATTCCAAGTGTAAACAGTATTCATCTTCCATAAATGTTTAGGTATAGGGAAGAAAAGGGGAAGATCTGTGCATCATCCTAGTTTGGGTTATCACAGACAAGGGGAAAGCTCTCACGTATTGATTATGTTCTCAGGGAAGAGGCTCGTGGATTTTGCCATGTATGTGGTTCTGTGTTATGGCCAAACTAAACATTGATTTGGTATATTTGACGAGCATAACCCAATTCTTCAAGCAAAAGGTCAGTTCAAATTAATACTGAAACACATTTTTTCAAATTCTTAGAAATGTCATCATGGTTTCAGGGAGCAGTTAAATCAACTTGCAGGAAATTCCCCATCTCAGAGGGATGAGAAACTAATCATTGCATGTGAGGGGTTGAAAAGTTACTAATTTATTGTAGCTATAAGTAAATTGACATTCATTGTATGATGGCAGATGCATGCCCAGTGAGGCATTACTGCATACGGAGAAGCCTTGCTTGTGCATGTTTCTCAAGTCTGCTTGTTGTACTTAATAAGGCCAGAATGTTATTGTTTGGAATAGCAAGTCTTGTTATTTACTTTGAGAAAGGGTAGAATGATTGCTATCATGAAAGCCTGTAAACAGATCTTTCCATAATTTTGGACCAGTTACTGTGTACAAGTTAGGATGGTCCTCAGTGATTACTAGAGGGTAAGGGGAGGTTACCTTGAGGTGCTTCCGGGGCTTAGCGTCCCCGCGGCCAGGTCGTCGACCAGGCCTCCTGGTTGCCGGACTGATCAACCAGGCTGATACATTTGATCTTAGCTGCTTTTACATAAGGAGCAGTATACGTTCTGGACATTCCAAAATGACCACACTGGTTTGTGAGACAGATTACAGAGGGAAAAATAAGAATTGAACATTATTATTTTGGTAAATGCAGCAAAGATTTCAGCAACTTTTATTTTGTTCTTGAATATAATGTTGTCTGCCACTGCTTGCAAAGAGGGTCATTGTTGAACCTCAAAAAAAAAAGTATGAAAAGTAAGTTTTGCTTTTGCACTTTTCTGGACATTAGACCAGACTCACATGCCTTTTTAGTCCCATTGATATTTTCCATAAAAACTATTGTTTTATGGTATGCTTCCTCCCATTCACCTGATTGTATTGTGTTCATTTGGTGTTCATCCTTAAATTGTTCTGTCCTCTGTGCTTGCAGGAGGCTGTTATGTTTCCAGACCATGTAGTTACTAGTTTATATAGTATATTTTTAATTGAAGATTTGATATATCTTCAGATTTATTTCTGCTTATCATACTAATATGGTATTATTACGTATAGATTGTTTGGCTTTGTAGTTAATCTGAGAGGGTTCGTTAGTTACAGTAAGGAACTTTGATGTTTGAGTTCATTTGAGGCATTAGTACTTTAATTACAGTACACTTAACAAGTGCTTTAAAAGTCTGCTGTTCTAAAAGAATAAAACCAGGGAAGAAATAATTGATAATTATTGATAAATTCTTTCTCACGTGTTTATTTTAATCACCTGATAAAGGGACTTGTATTAGTAACAATTATATTTTAATTATGGAAGATTTTGAATATGTAAATAGGCTTGTAATACATTGCTGGTGATATATTGTACGAATCAATCTGCGTTGGAATTTGTTTTAGCAATGACACCTGGGTACAAATCCTTGAGTCTGGGGAGAGGGGGGGGGAAGGGTAAGTCTAATTATAATCTAATAGCTTTGTTTTTTATTTTGCCTTTCCTTTGAGGGTATGAAGACTTCTCATTAATGTTAGGCCCAGGCTATAGAAATTATGGCACATATGTTTACATATCAGGAAATATGAATATATACATTTTAGAGTTGTATGTTAGATATTTTCATTTTCATTAATCAATTTATGCTGATAGTGATTTTATATTATATATATATATATATATATATATATATATATATATATATATATATATATATATATATATATATATATATTATCACACACACACACACACACACACACACACACACACACACACCCACACCCACACCCACACCCACCCACCCACCACTTTTATCTTAACACAAATTATTGGTTAATTGGGAAGTTTAAATTACTGTACTAAGTCCTATATCCCTTGTAGAATACCCTCGGTAAACTATGTATAAATATAATGTGAGTATGCCAATTTATTTGCGGTCAGAAAGTTTTATTGAGTTGATTATACAGCACCAGGAAGGTTTATTATGTTGTAGCCCAGAACGTATTTGATGTGCAAGACTGGTAGAGCAGTGTTGTGCATCCACTCACCCATTGGCTGAGGTGCCCTGGTAGGAGGCCCTAGTTGAGTAGTGCCCACTGCTAGTGCTATAGGACCTGTTGGAATGTCTTACAAGTGGGCCAGAGTAGTCTAGGTGGTAACGCTTTAGTATTGGATGTGAAGATGGATGGTGAAGATGGTGAAGAAGGCTAATGCAATTATTCAGCTTACTTTTTCTTAGAAGTGAATATAACAGTAGCAGAATGAGCCTTATTGAGATTAATAAGACTATTTGGATGCTAGATGAACTATACTGTAATGTAGCATGAATGTGTACGACGCACGGTATTACGAATAGCGAATGAGTATTCTTTGGTGCTTTGAGTCAAGAAAGAAGCTCTTGGCTGATATTTGTTTAAGGTTGTAGCTCACTGAAAGCAAAGTTTATTTTGTGCTTGCTAAGATTTTGTTGTATGAATTAGGTCATATATTCAAATTAGATTAATATTGTTATGGTCATATCATATGTAAAATTTAGTGCAAGAAGGGTATAATTAGAAGTTTTTGTTGAATTAGGGTACAGTTGAATGGAGTGCTTATAATTCAGTGCCAGTAATTCCTATTAAGATCTTCCGTGATGAGTGGATAAGATATTGGCATATCATTATTTTTTTAACTTTTTTATATATAAAAACACTACTACATAATAAGATAATGAGGGATAAATTGTTTAATAAGAGTTTTATGAAAACAATGGTTATAAGATCAAAGAACAACACTTATCAAGAAATGGAAGTACAAACCACAAATTAATTTTAATTTGATTTTGTTTATAGAGTCTTGTTAATGGTGTTACAGAGAAGTTTTAGTTCTCTTACTCGTCTTGCTATGTTGTTCATTAAAAACTGTAGGACTCTACTGTGCAAATTCACTTAAATTCAGCTTTTTAAAAGTTAAATGCCGAGGATCTTGAAACGGGAGTTAACCTTGGATATCTTATTGTACTTGTTTGATGTAATCCCTTCGTTAATGTTAGTGATTAATGTTGGAGAAAAGGAAGCATTCAGGGTAAAGATAGGTTGTGTGCATACACCCACTTTTCTTATGGCATAATTGTGAGCATTTTCACAATTATTTTCTTTAAAATAATTTACTAGGTAAAAAAAAAATTGTAATAAAATAATATACAATGGCTTTAATATCTACATTGGTAATGTAAAGGTATTTATATAGCTATGTGGCCGAGTTGTTTTTGAATCTCTGATTTTTAGCATGTATGTGAGACGGGCTGACAACACACTGGTGACGACTATTTAATGATAGTCGATTTATAGTCGATAATGATTTATTGAGCATGATGTTTAGTGTTCATTTTCATTGGTCCAGTATAAATATTTTTGAGTTATTGATTTCTCTATTGCACTTCAGTATTTTTATTCCTGAACAAAAGGATCATTCATTTGTTTTCTTTGTACATACATTATTTATATACCATATATATTAGGAGATAAGAGTCTGCAATATAAATAGAATTGACCCCTTATATTATATCAACAAAATAGAACTACAAACTAGAAAAGTTTACAGGAACATTCTGAATTGTTTTTCTTGAGCCAAATAAGGTACACAAGTTTGGAAGACTAATTGTAATTGATCTTATTTAGTCTTGGAGATAACCCCTAAATCTTATGATTGCGTCTGTGAGAAGTGTGCTAGGTAGTAATATATCATTGTCACTTGACTTTGAAAGGTTACTTAAATTTTATTAAAATACCTGCTAGTAATGCTTAATGACTATGCGTGGGAGCCTTGAACGAAGCACGACCTAAAATAATGTCTGCAGGAACAAAAGGTTTAATTAAATAATTATAATGCTATAAACTGATGATATTTGTAGACATTGCTGATTATTTCATTCACTCTCTGTATAGAGTCCTAAATTTGCCAAGTGACTTAAAACTAACATATTACAGCTTATAATTGTTTTATTGTTTGATATATGGCAATTGAGCTACCAGTTCCTATACAAGCACAATATTTGATTGGGTTCAGATTGCAATTTTTATATGAATCATGTATTTCTGTAAAATCCATTAAACTGAAAAATGCCTCTTTAAGCACATTGTGGGTATTTTCAGTCTTGTAATTCTGTTGTAATACATATTTTTTATCTTACCTTTACATTTTATTATTGATCCTGCAACCTCAGATTTTAACATGCATTGATTTGGCATGCTATAAGTATCTAATTCCTGACACCGTAAAGAATGGTGTAGAATAGCGTATAGTAAAACCATGGTACTGTATACTGCACTCATACATGCCATCTTGAGGTTATCTTGAGATGATTTCGGGGCTTTTTAGTGTCCCCGCGGCCCGGTCCTCGACCAGGCCTCCACCCCCAGGAAGCAGCCTGTGACAGCTGACACCCAGGTACCTATTTTACTGCTAGGTAACAGGGGCATAGGGTGAAAGAAACTCTGCCCATTGTTTCTCGCCGGCGCCTGGGATCGAACCCGGGATCACAGGATCACAAGTCCAGTGTGCTGTCCGCTCGGCCGACCGGCTCCCATAATGCCATGGCCCATAATGCACAAAAACAAATTCCCCTTACGCAGTTCGCTCTTGCCATAACGTCCTAGGAATCATGATGATGCCATGCAAAATTCCAAGGATTTTTATGGACCTGGAAGATATTAGTAATTAAAAATCTATTACAAATACAGTAGTTAAGTTTAAAATTAATTGTCAGAATTTGACATTTTCAAAATTTCTTCACCTCACTACAGCCAAACTAAAATGATTACAATTTATTTTCCCCACCATCAGAAAGGAATGTTTTATGATATAAAAATGATTTTTTTTCATGTGCACCAAGAAATTGGCTTAATTTAAGGTGCACATGTTAAGAAATGGTGGGGGGAAAAAGGTGATGTAGAGCATGGCTGGGTAATGGACCCACCCTACCCAGAAGGGTTACCCCTCAGGATCCTAGAGTAATGAAAAAATGCCCCTACTAAACTCCCCTTATGGTGGCAACCTGCCAAATAATAAAGGTTCTGATATGTTAGGGCAGACAACAGGGAGTTACCATAACCAATTCCATTTAGCAGGTACAAATATTATTTGGACAGGCTTTGAACAGCACTTGCCAACAGGCCCAGCAAAGTCAATGACTATCAGAGAGCACTGCATTACGGTAGCGAAAAAAAAGCAGCTTGCCAACAATTTCACCATGGCTGCTGCAGAAGTACTTTTTAACCCATTATATAAGAATTTTAATAAAAGGCTTGAGACCAAAAAACTCCCAGAAGTCTGTATAAAGGCAAACATAGTTCCAGTTTTCAAAAAAAGGGGGGATAGAATGGAGGAACTAAATTACAGACTGGTGTCATTGACAACTATTCCGCATAAAGTGGTGGAGATAGTAATTATGTTGAGAATGGTGGAGCATCTAGTGAAGACCAGCTACATGATGAACGCTCTGTATGGATTTAAACAGGGAAACTCGTGCTTGACAAACATGACAAGAGTTTTATGACAGGGCTATTAAAATGACAAGAAAAAGAAGACTGGATAGACCGAATTTTCAAATGTATTGTCAAAAAGCATTTGAAACCGTTCCTCATGAAAGACTATTGTACAAGATAGAGAAGCAGCTAGTAAAAGAATGAACTACGTAAGTGAAAACCTGAAGGATAGAAATTAGTCAGTCAGAGAGGAAGTTTCAAGATAGGAATACAACAAGTGAATCCCACAAGGCTTGGTCATGGGACCGCTGTTGCTCCTAAATTATGTAAACGACCTGCCCGAGGGAGTGAGCTTGTACATGTTAAATTTTACAGATGATGCAAAGCTGATGAATGTAAAAACAGAGGACTACAGGAAGTTAGAGGAGGAACTTGACAAACTCCAGGAGTGGCCAAATAAATGTTTGCTGGAATTCAGTTGCAGTAAGTGTTAAGTGTTGAAGATGGAAAAGGAAGAGAGGACACTATATATACAGAATACATCTACACCTTAAGGGGAAGGCAACTATGCAGGAATCTGAAAGAGAGAAATTTGGGAGTGGAGATAATTCCGACAAACACAGGAGGTGCACAATATATAAACGTGACTTGACATTAAGTGTACATGAATTACTTTAAGCACATGTTAATTCGATGTAGATTAATTTTATTTGTTTATTATTGGTACTAAAAAAGACATTTGTATGCCCTTCCTATATGAAGGAAATGTATAATTACGCTACTCAAGCCATCGTTGCCATGACAACGGAGACGCAACCTGCCAAGTAACCATGGCAACGAGGACGCTACCTGCCTCGCACGTGATACTAGATAATCAGTAACACCTTCCTGGTCTGCAAAACTTTATTTGTGTCAGTTTACGGTCTGCTGTGATCACATTACACGAAAGGAGCTGGATTATTCTTATTCTTAGAGCTAATGAAATTTCCCCAGAAAGTTTAATTACTACCTACCTGGAAATAGGGTTCCGGTAGCACAGTTGGGTTCGTTCTCTACGCACAATCGAGAATCCCGGATTCGAATCCCTGGTGGGACAGATATGCTCGGATACATTCCCTTTCATCTAATGCCTCTGTTCACCTAATAGTGAGTAAGTACTCAGGCGTTAGTCAGCTTGTGGGGCTGCATCCTGGGCGGGGTCAGTAATTCGGCCTTTGGGGGGGGGGGGATCACGATAAAAGCCTCATGTATATGAATACACTCTGGCTTCCTGTCCCCCGACACAATGAATTATAATATACTGTCAAGGATACAATGAATTATAATATACTGGCAAGGATACAAGCCACAAGGCGACTCGCCAACGGATTTTGAAACCTATCAAACTTAACCTAGCTTGTTGACCAGACCACACACTAGAAATTGAAGGGACGACGACGTTTCGGTCCGTCCTGGACCATTCTCAAGTCGATGCTTACCCTAGCTTACCCTTAACCTTTCTAACCCAATCGGGTGAAATACAGTCTAACCTAAGCCAAAACATCCTAGCATAGCAATAATTGATACAGGGGTTTTAACAAACAGAAACCGAGCTTCGTAGAGTGGTCTGGTGTGGGAAACGACCATACCCAGCTGTCAATACCTGTGAGGTAACTCTCTTCGCTTGTCACACGCCACCTGTAACAGCCCAAATGTCACCTGCAGACGGGTGTTAGCACTCCAGGTGCTACAGTGTGTTGTGAGGGCGTGGTGGTGTGCTACAGTGTGTTGTGAGGGCGTGGTGGAGTGCTGCAGTGTGTTGTGAGGGCGTGGTGGAGTGCTACAGTGTGTTGTGAGGGCGTGGTGGAGTGCTGCAGTGTGTTGTGAGGGCGTGGTGGAGTGCTACAGTGTGTTGTGAGGGCGTGGTGGGGTGCTACAGTGTGTTGTGAGGGCGTGGTGGAGTGCTACAGTGTGTTGTGAGGGCGTGGTGGAGTGCTGCAGTGTGTTGTGAGGGCGTGGTGGAGTGCTACAGTGTGTTGTGAGGGCGTGTTGGAGTGCTACAGTGTGTTGTGAGGGCGTGGTGGAGTGCTACAGTGTGTTGTGAGGGCGTGGTGGAGTGCTACAGTGTGTTGTGAGGGCGTGGTGGAGTGCTGCAGTGTGTTGTGAGGGCGTGGTGGAGTGCTACAGTGTGTTGTGAGGGCGTGGTGGAGTGCTACAGTGTGTTGTGAGGGCGTGGTGGAGTGCTACAATGTGTTGTGAGGGCGTGGTGGAGTGCTACAGTGTGTTGTGAGGGCGTGGTGGGGTGCTACAGTGTGTTGTGAGGGCGTGGTGGAGTGCTACAGTGTGTTGTGAGGGCGTGGTGGAGTGCTACAGTGTGTTGTGAGGGCGTGGTGGAGTGCTACAGTGTGTTGTGACTGAAAGGGCGTGTATTGTGGAGAAAAAACACAGTGAGAGTTGTGTGCGCTACAACACGAGGCATGAGCGACCTGGAAGAGGAGTCGTCCCTGGTTGACGACGACGACGACCAGGACGCTGACCACGCACCAGATGCCTCAAGCCAGAACGAACAGGCGGATGGGCCAGATGAAACGGGAAACGAGGATGATGAGGGAGAGGAGGTGGCGCTGCCCTCCCCACCACCGTCACACCCTCCAGGTAAACACACCTGCCTTTCCCACTGATCCTTACGCCCTTTGATATATTAGATGAACTTAAAGTTAGTTGTTTAGTCAGAGTTGGTTTGTTTTTGTATTGAGGCTGATATTTTCTTCCTGATTCCATGTATGACTAATCATCGTGTGAGATGGGCATATTAGATGAACTTATAGCTAGTTTTTGGTCTACACTGTGTGATCTTTCATATAGAATAAGGTAGCAGCACATTGCTGTGTATACCTAAACTTGTTAATAAAAACAAATTGATAAAATCCTCGAGGAATCCCTATGGCTTTGTTCATCTTATGTCTTTACCTTCTCTCATGAGCACTATGAATGATATCTTAGCTCTCTTGAACATTCTGCAATATAACACTGTCTGTAATTAGTGGCGTTATATAATATACACAACAATTACTGTACCTACTATATGTACCTTATATATATACAAGTGACGGGTTGTGAATGTACATTTGCTGGGGATTAAGTGATACATTCTTACAGTCATTTACACGCATAATATTTTCCTTTATATATCATAAATTAATCATTTATTATAAAAATAAAATAATAATAGTTATTATATTGTATCAGTGGCTTAGCTCATTCTTTTGCAAATAAATTAGCCGGAGATGAAGGCTTTGGGTCTATGGGTTAACGCAGCCTCTCTCTACATCACTCTCTATTGTATCCTCTGTAGGCAGACGAAAATAATGGCTTGCAGTTAACACTATATATATATATATATATATATATATATATATATATATATATATATATATATATATATATATATATATATATATATATATATTATATATGCAAGAGTCTTTACATTCTTGTACAGCCACCAGCACGTATAACGTTTCGGGCAAGCCCTTAATCCTAATTTTCCTCGGAATACGACCCGCCAAATCTTTTAACCATTCACTGCTGGGTGAACAGGTGAGTACAGTTAAGGATTGGCACGAGGTCAATCCTCCCCGGTGTGTGACGTATGACTGTAAGAGCGTGGTGGAGTGCCACGCCACAGAGTGCGGTGTGTGACTGTGATAGTATGGCAGAGTGCTGCTGCTACAGAGAGTACTGCTGCAGGTGGAGGACCATCATGGGAGGCGGTGTTCAAGACTCTTGGGCCCGACCATCCACTGCTAAGACGCTTCCAGGAGGCCAAAAACAAGCAGCTCTTGGAGGAGAAGAGTCAGCTGCAGCTGCGACTCAGACAACTGGTAAAATACTCCTTTCGTATTCTGCAAATACTTGTCATTGAAATGTTATTTTCTATAATATTTAAGTAGCAAGAACATCCCTTCAGATGTTATGTATACACATGGTGTATAGAGGGTGTAGTGGGAGTTCTTAGGTGTAATAACGATCATTGCAGCGCCAGCAGACTGAAGACCTGAGGCAGGACAACGTGTCGCTTGGCGCTCAACTCTTCGGCGTGCAGCAAGCAGTGACCCGAGCACAGGCAAGTACACCATCACATGCACCATCACCACTCACGGCACTACCACCACAGCTTACTACACCACCATATTTTCCAGTCAGCTTCACAACCTCTCATTACACGTTGATAGGTTAAGTAATAATTGTAAATAAGAAGCAATAAGATGCTTATCTTAACATACTAAGAAGGTTAGGTGAGGTCGGTGTTTTCTATGAAGCTTTTCAAGGTAAACTAAAATATTCACTATCAATTAGTATGTCACGTAGACGGGTTGCATACACCATCATTATACCTCTCACTACACCACCACCACTTATCACAACACCACATGAACTTCGCCTTACCAGATAATGTACTATAAATGTTTATAGTGTTTTTTCCTGAAGGTCAGACAAGTGTATCTTATCAAGGTCCACATCAGAAGGAGGTTTGGTCAAATCGTACACAAGACTTCAACGAATTTAGTTTTCTGATTCTCAAAACCGTATATATCGTTAGGGAAGGTTGTGTTAGCTTAGATTAGGCTATATTAGGCTCGGTTGGATCATATTAGGTTAGTCTGAATTAGGATGACTAAGTTGGATAAGGTTAGGCAAGTTTGAAAATGCTTTGACGTTTTGTGTACGATATTGTCTCATCAGAAGCGCGCTGGAAGCTACCTTGCGAGCCAATGAAATCAGGATTCAAGGAAATCAGGACGTATATAATTGACGAAGTCAAGTCTTTATTACTGTATATGTGATCACGAATAACATAACAATGAGACTGCATAGTGCTATTATGTTTACCAGAGTGCATTTGAAGTTTCCATACCATCTAGTAGGATTACACAGATTGCTAGCAGTTAGAACTATTGCAATGGGAGTCCAACGACTGAAAACAATGGCCCAAGAATTGAAGCTCACTAATACTTATACCCGTGAGTGCAGGTGAACCTGGACAAGGCGAAGGCTGAGAGGCGGAGGACGAGGCAGGCAGTGCAGGCCGCCCAGGACACACTGCTGCAGGCAAGGGAAGAGGAGCGTACCCTGATGGCTGCACTTAACAACGCCAGGAAGCACGGTGAGAAACATCAAGTTCCCCACTTGCCTTTGATATCATGTTCCCCACTTGCCTTTGATATCATGTTTCCCACCTGCCCTTGATACCATGTTCCCCACCCTCGTTTGATATCATGTTCCCCACCTTTCCTTGATACCACGTGCCCAGTCTTTCTCAACACTTTACGCCTTTCCATTGAATCATGCTTCCTGCTTCTTTTGACACCGTATTTGGTGGCGGGCAGAGGCGGAGGTCGGGCGTGAGGTTGGGCGGCTGGGGTCGCGGGTGGCGGCGGTGAAGGCGGCGAGGACTGAGAGTGAGGGGGACATCACCACCCTCACTCGTGCCATACACAACACGGCCTGGGACAGGGCCAACCTGGAGAAGGACAAGATGGCTCAGGTAAGTCCTTTTGTAATCTAGCATAGCTTATATTAATGAAGATATAGTGTGAATATGCTAATTATTAATTCTGAAATTTAGGTTGCATGCAGTTTCATGGTATAACTCAACCAAGATGACGCAAAAGATGCATAATTTGATCTTTACACATACTGATCTTTGTTTAAAATATGTGAGTGTATCAGGACATGTTAGTGGAGCGGGTGAGGGCGGCGGTGGAGAGGGAGAGCGCCACCCTGGCTGCCCTCCACACCACCACCAGGGAGCAGAGAGACCTCACACACGCCCTCCACACACGTGCCAGGCTACAGCAACAGGAACTCTTGCAACTTGGTAAGCCGGAGGAAACAAGAAAGGATTGAGAGAGAGAGAGAGAGAGAGAGAGAGAGAGAGAGAGAGAGAGAGAGAGTGTGAGAGAGAGTGTGTGTGTGTGTGTGTGTGTGTGTGTGTGTGTGTGTGTGTGTGTGTGTGTGTGTGTGGGACAGATGGGCTAGGCTGGGGCTATTGAAATTGAAATAAGTTTATTGAGGTAAAATACACACAAAGGGATGAGGTAGCTCAAGTTATTCTCACCCTGTTCAGTACATCGTGTTAATACATACATATAAACACATCACAAACAATAAACATATTACCAAACATTCTGAGAGATAAACATCTACATTTCCTTGGCTGAGGCTATGACTTCCGTTTTAGGTTTCAGCATAACATGTTTATCATTATTATTTTCAAACTCAATTTATCTGATTCGTATATAATTACAGCATAATATTCAGAGCAGTAACAAGATTAGCAAAATAACTTTTTAAGTTTGTATATCTCTAGAAGAATATGAAGCCCCTATAAAAGTATTTGTGTGTACGTCTGATACCATACTACTTGTGAAGGAGGAAATGTATATGTTTATCTCTCAGAATGTTTGGTAATATGTTTATTTGTGATGTGTGTCAATGTATGTATTAACACGTTGTACTGAATGGGATGAGAATAGCTTGAGTTACCTCATCCCTTTGTGTGTATTTTACCTCAATAAACTTATTTCAATTTCAATTTCAATTAGTTTTTGACGCTACTTGTCAACTATTTATACTACAGCACCACAATATTTGTTTAAAAATTCTAAATGTATTTTCAAATAATTGACACAGCACGATATTGTCATATGATGTGCTATTATAATGTACTGCCTGCAATACCGATTTTACACATTTGAATGAAACGTAGGAATGATGCAGGGGTCATTATTCTCTCGTGTTGAGCAGAGTGAGAGCACCGCTCCTGTGCCAGGTAAGCTACGGGCTCACCATAGCCCGTGCTACTTGGAACTTGTTGCGAGTAGCTGAATCTATAACCACAACAACAGAGAGTGAGAGCGTGGGCGTGCGGCGGGCCTGGGAGACCAACGTTATCATGCTACAGCGACGCTCGCAGGAACAAGCCCTAGTCCGCCAACACCTACATGAGCTCCTTGCCCAGCAAGCCGGTCTCCGAGCCCAGGTACACGTTAACTATATTCCACAGTGATATATAGCTTTGGGTAACCGGCATCTTCACTACACTCACAACTATTTTCACTGCGTACTGTGACCATCTTCACAACAGCCTTCATCACTGTAATCGTCTACACTGCACACCACCATCGTCACTGTAACCACCTTCATTATACCACACTGTATTTACCACTGTAACCACTTCCACTGGACGTTGTCTTCAACAACAACACTACAGATCTAAGTGTATGCTTCATTTAATATTAACTTTATGGCAGAGTTATGTATCCGGTAAATGATTATTCTTTAATTCTAGATGTACCTCTACGAACCTAATGTATTTGTTTAAGAGAAGTTGAAACTTTTGTTAATTTCACTGTTAGTTTATACTCATAATTCTGGCTACTCGGGGAGTTTTCCCCAGACTGTATTTATGTTAATGGTTAACAGGTGCACAACACTGGGAAGGCGGTGAAGGATGAGCAGCTGCTTCACGAGCAAGACTCCCTCAGGTGAGTCTCTGGGGCTCACAATGGGTTATTTGTATTCTCCAACCACTTGGATTGGGCGAGCACCCATATCCTCGCTTCATGCACATTTCCGGGATAAAAATTAGCAATTTAAGCTCCATATATGTGCAATCACCCTGAATTCCGCCCAGAAATAACGCTCAAGAGTTATATTACCGAAAGGCATCGTATTTTGTAAACTGTAGGGGGATTTGGTCAAAATCTGACCAATCGCCGTTTTCATTGACCTGCAGGTTGATGGCAGATCCCGGAAGATGTAAGAGGCTGGATACCGTTCCTTCCCTTCCTCCTTCTCTGCCAGCTTCCTCTCGTGTCCTTATATCGCTTCTAAGCTCTATCTAATCTAATTGCCTTAGCTCTTTCTTCTGATATAATTATTTGTTATTTATATTTTTGTATTGTCTACTGTAAATCTTCCGTGTCGAATTTATAGCATTTGTGTTGCTTACCTGTGCCCCAACGACTGAGACGATTTGATAAATTCATATGCCCAACAGTACCATCGGAGTGCCGGCACGGAAGTGGATTGTCGAATTGATAGTACATGGGAACATCCGAAAGATCTGGGAAGGGTACACAGTCATCCGATATAGATTTGAGACGAGTTAACGAGCTGATAGCTTTGGATAAGGTGCGCGAAGAAGTACATTCAATATAAATAAGTTTGAGAGCCCTTCCTTATAGACCTTATAGAGTCCATGGCGGGCGATTTTACATGAATCCTACAATACATTTGCTTTATATAATAACACGGTTAATAATATTGATTAAAATAGGGTATGGTGTGCTTCGGGAGATAACATGTGAATGGCTGTTCATGATTATTATTTGTATATTGTTATTAATGGATTATTATTTGTTTTAGGTTGTTATCCCTGGAGCGTGACGTCACCAAACAAAAACAGCGGCTGGCGGTAGCCAGGGAAGAAACGCAGCAGCTGGTGGAGCGTCACGAGGCGCTCTCTCTTGTTGTGGACCAGCTGGAGGCCAGCTGCCAGGAGAAGCACAAGGTAAGGACCAGCTGGTGGAGCGTCACGAGGCGCTCTCTCTTGTTGTGGACCAGCTGGAGGCCAGCTGCCAGGAGAAGCACAAGGTAAGGACCAGCTGGTGGAGCGTCACGAGGCGCTCTCTCTTGTTGTAGACCAGCTGGAGGCCAGCTGCCAGGAGAAGCACAAGGTAAGGACCAGCTGGTGGAGCGTCACGAGGCGCTCTCTCTTGTTGTGGACCAGCTGGAGACCAGCTGCCAGGAGAAGCACAAGGTAAGGACCAGCTGGTGGAGCGTCACGAGGCGCTCTCTCTTGTTGTAGACCAGCTGGAGGCCAGCTGCCAGGAGAAGCACAAGGTAAGGACCAGCTGGTGGAGCGTCACGAGGCGCTCTCTCTTGTTGTAGACCAGCTGGAGGCCAGCTGCCAGGAGAAGCACAAGGTAAGGACCAGCTGGTGGAGCGTCACGAGGCGCTCTCTCTTGTTGTAGACCAGCTGGAGGCCAGCTGCCAGGAGAAGCACAAGGTAAGGACCAGCTGGTGGAGCGTCACGAGGCGCTCTCTCTTGTTGTGGACCAGCTGGAGGCCAGCTGCCAGGAGAAGCACAAGGTAAGGACCAGCTGGTGGAGCGTCACGAGGCGCTCTCTCTTGTTGTAGACCAGCTGGAGGCCAGCTGCCAGGAGAAGCACACGGTAAGGACCAGCTGGTGGAGCGTCACGAGGCGCTCTCTCTTGTTGTAGACCAGCTGGAGGCCAGCTGCCAGGAGAAGCACAAGGTAAGGACCAGCTGGTGGAGCGTCACGAGGCGCTCTCTCTTGTTGTAGACCAGCTGGAGGCCAGCTGCCAGGAGAAGCACAAGGTAAGGACCAGCTGGTGGAGCGTCACGAGGCGCTCTCTCTTGTTGTTTACCAGCTGGAGGCCAGCTGCCAGGAGAAGCACAAGGTAAGGACCAGCTGGTGGAGCGTCACGAGGCGCTCTCTCTTGTTGTGGACCAGCTGGAGGCCAGCTGCCAGGAGAAGCACAAGGTAAGGACCAGCTGGTGGAGCGTCACGAGGCGCTCTCTCTTGTTGTAGACCAGCTGGAGGCCAGCTGCCAGGAGAAGCACAAGGTAAGGACCAGCTGGTGGAGCGTCACGAGGCGCTCTCTCTTGTTGTAGACCAGCCGGAGGCCAGCTGCCAGGAGAAGCACAAGGTAAGGACCAGCTGGTGGAGCGTCACGAGGCGCTCTCTCTTGTTGTAGACCAGCTGGAGGCCAGCTGCCAGGAGAAGCACAAGGTAAGGACCAGCTGGTGGAGCGTCACGAGGCGCTCTCTCTTGTTGTGGACCAGCTGGAGGCCAGCTGCCAGGAGAAGCACAAGGTAAGGACCAGCTGGTGGAGAGTCACGAGGCGCTCTCTCTTGTTGTGGACCAGCTGGAGGCCAGCTGCCAGGAGAAGCACAAGGTAAGGACCAGCTGGTGGAGCGTCACGAGGCGCTCTCTCTTGTTGTAGACCAGCTGGAGGCCAGCTGCCAGAAGCACAAGGTAAGGACCAGCTGGTGGAGCGTCACGAGGCGCTCTCTCTTGTTGTAGACCAGCTGGAGGCCAGCTGCCAGGAGAAGCACAAGGTAAGGACCAGCTGGTGGAGCGTCACGAGGCGCTCTCTCTTGTTGTAGACCTGCTGGAGGCCAGCTGCCAGGAGAAGCACAAGGTAAGGACCAGCTGGTGGAGCGTCACGAGGCGCTCTCTCTTGTTGTGGACCAGCTGGAGGCCAGCTGCCAGGAGAAGCACAAGGTAAGGACCAGCTGGTGGAGCGTCACGAGGCGCTCTCTCTTGTTGTGGACCAGCTGGAGGCCAGCTGCCAGGAGAAGCACAAGGTAAGGACCAGCTGGTGGAGCGTCACGAGGCGCTCTCTCTTGTTGTGGACCAGCTGGAGGCCAGCTGCCAGGAGAAGCACAAGGTAAGGACCAGCTGGTGGAGCGTCACGAGGCAGCTGGAGGCCAGCTGCCAGGGGGAAACACAAGGAGTTAAACGTCACACTCGTATCACCTAAAAAAAATTATATATAATTGTGATCAATTTAATTGTTATTTGAGATTTGTTATTTGACTTTGGATTTGATGCTTGCAGGAGGTGAAGGAGGAACTACGGAGACTAGAGCGAGTGTACGGACGGCTTCAAGCGGCCACTATGCGCCACCGGCGACTGGAAGATCTTGCCCTCGACAAAGTGGGCGAGCACACCGCAGCCTCCAGGGCAACGCTCAACTTGCGGAGGCGCGTCTCCGACACCAGGGTCATGTGCCGCAAGCTGGTTAGTGTTGCAAGGTGTTCCATGATGGGAATGTCTCCAGGTGCCGCAGGATGGTGACTGGCCAGGTGCCGCAGGCTGGTGAGTGTGGCCAGGTGCCGCAGGCTGGTGAGTGTGGCCAGGTGCCGCAGGCTGGTGAGTGTGGCCAGGTGCCGCAGGCTGGTGAGTGTGGCCAGGTGCCGCAGGCTGGTGAGTGTGGCCAGGTTCCACAGCCTGGTGAGTGTGGCCAGGTTCCACAGCCTGGTGAGTGTGGCCAGGTGCCGCAGGCTGGCGAATGTGGCCCTAGTTTCAAGTGTGGGAAAATTTGCCTCACAAAACTGATATCATCGGGTTGGCAGATCTCAGACATAATCAAGAAGGGTGTGCACACTGCACACACTTTTGGAATGTGCAATGTGGAAATCTCCGCCACAGTACCCCACCATAGATGAGTGAACCAGCGGGTGAAGCAAACAACTCCACTCACCTACACATGAAAGTGAAGACGTTTCAGATAATCTTATGACCCCGCAAGATAGAGCGAGAAGTGGAGCAGATAAGCAACTGCGTGATGAGGTATTGCCCACAAGGGTGAGTCATTGTGATCCCAGGTGAATGATTACTCTTACTTATGACAGAGGTAAATGTGGGCCCCCGACATTGTCTGGCGAGTGTGGACCCCACAACATGGTAACTGCATGTTGGAGACAAGGTGGTGTTTATATCGATTGTCTTAGATAATTATAACTAGTGGTTACGTGTGTTAGGATGGTCTATGACTACGTTGTTGTTTTAGATTCAGCTACTGGAACCAAATTTCCATAGCACGGGCTATGGTGAGCCCGTAATGCGACTACGGAGAGTGCCCGTAATATATCGTGATGAAGGTCTAAGGTGTGGTGATTTGTGGTGACGGACGTTGGACTGTGGTGAGTTGTTTAGTGTGTTGGTAGGCAGGTACGTTGATCTGAGGTGATAGTGTTAAATGCATTGGTGTATGGTAACTTGTAGCTAAGTTAATTGACCTTTTTTTCACGTGTGGCGGCGCAGGAGGACGAGCTGGTGGAGCGGGAGCGGAGTGCGGCCGAGGCAGCCCTGATGGCTTCCGACGGGCGAGCAGCAGTCATCACCCTCACCACCACCAGGGACACGCTCACCACAGTGGTAGACCAACTCAACGCTGACGTTGCCAGGTTTGTTGCCAAACGGCCCTGAATGTGGCCAGGCGCTTCATTAACAGGGAGAAACAAGGGTATTGACTCGTCAGTCGGTTATAATCACTACGATGATTCTTGGTGGTGCATCACGAAGCATCGTTGCACACGGAAAAAAGTGTCCCGACCTCGGGTTTTTTAGTTTTGAGCTGGATTAATTCGTGTATGCATGTTTCCAGATTGTGTATTGTATACATAATTTTACATCATAGTGGGGCGTGGAGGGGACCCATTCTTGTTTCTTCAAGTTCAATATTTTCATCCTTTTATTGGCGTTTGTTCCTAGTAGAGTTCCTCAGTCCTACAGGCATAATATATTGCACTTGTAGTAGTATTAGGAGGCCTCCATCAGTCTCAGGAGACTATGGAGTTGCGCTCTGGTTGTCGGTCTGGAGTGGCCTCACCAGGGCGCAAAGCCAGGGTAGGTTGATATGGAGAAGCTGTTACCCAGGCAGCAGCGCTTGTAGTTTGCTGCATTATCATCCCTCGCTGCTCGCGCTAGAGCCCTCATATACGCTCCAGGTTGCTCTTGCAGTATGTGCAACGTGTTACTTAACCACTCACCAGGGACCGTCTTGACGCAATATTAACCAGGTATTGGACCTATAGGTTTTTACTATATTGAAATACCGCTAAGTCAGTCATACAACTAACTGCCTATGTGCAACAGTTAGTGTGATACACAGACTGCGGTCATCTTTTTTATACTATGTTGAAACAGGTGTGACTAAGTAATGGAGTAGCAAAGTGAGGGACGGTATGTCAGGTATGAGGCTTACCTGAGAGTAGTGTTGTGAGGTAAGACTATATGAGAGGCATGAGGGAGTGTAGTGTAGTGAGTCGCAACTCTAACAATCATGAGGGGGAATATGAGTGCTGTGTAGTGAGAGGAGACTAAGGCAGGTATTAGGTATCTAAGAATAGTGTAGTGAGTTAAGACTGTTGCAGGTATGAGGCAGACCTGAGGAAGGGGCAGGAGAGGCTCAGCGCCAACCAGTGCTGTGTGGACCGACTCAACAAGGAGCTGGCCAAGGTTCTCAACCTCACTGGGGTGAGTTTCACCCTTTATTGCTTAATATCTTCCTTGCTGCCAGATAGCAAAATAAATATTTCAGATCATTTGTGTTGCTCTGTTCCTCGAGTATCTGTATAGTGCTTCTTCACGATATAAACAGTGGAACCAAACTGTTGTGTTGACTCGTAAATATACAACAAAATATCAGTCATGAAAAATGTTTTCAGTTGTTTTACAATCCAATTAAATGGTAATACTTGTAAAAGTATCCTCTACAGGGAAAATGATATCGGGGCATTCCTTTGCTATCAATATACAGAGGGTCTCACAGACTGTACTGAAATATATCTCCCTTGTAATATGTACTCAAATATATACCTCACATGAAATATATAACTTTAAATGCGTAAAGTTAACGGCTGAGCAAAAGCTTTTTGTAATCACTCACAAATCTGAAGAATATGTGAATTACAGCATTAATGAATGTGTCATTCTCTATTAGCAAAGTATATATGAAATAAAATATATAAATTATCAGTTGTTGTTGTTAAAGATTCGCTACCTGGAATGTAAAATTCCAAGCAGCACGGGCTATGGTGAGCCCGTAGGCCTTTGATAAATTATCAATAAATATATTCACTATTATGATTTAAAGGGAAGTGAGGGACCTCCGGCCGAGCGTGAGGAGCGCCGTCTACGACTCCTGCTGGAGGACCGAGAGAAGGAGAGGAAGGCCCTGGAGGAGGAAGCCCTCACCATGCAGTGCCAGCTGCTGGAGACCCGGGAGGCGAGGGACACCCTTGCCAATACCTCCTCGCTTCTACACCAAGGTCTGTCACACCTTCAGATGCTGAACTGATATTCTGTTCTATAGTTGTTAAATGTGTGAACCTTTCTTCATATGACTGATTACACACTGTTTATGACTGTGAATCCCTTCCTCATGACTATCCCTGCTTGTGGCTCCTTCCTCGTGACTACCCATTTTCTTATTTAGAGCCTTCTTCTTCTTCTTCAGGACCACCCAAGGTGGTGACTCTTCCTCTTGGCAGCCTCCTATTATGACCTTCCTCAGGGCTTCCCCCCTATTGTGACCCTCCTCCCTCCTTCCTCAGGGCTTCCCCCCTATTGTGACCCTCCTCCCTCCTTCCTCAGGGCTTCCCCCCTATTGTGACCCTCCTCCCTCCTTCCTCAGGGCTTCCCCCCTATTGTGACCCTCCTCCCTCCTTCCTCAGGGCTTCCCCCCTATTGTGACCCTCCTCCCTCCTTCCTCAGGGCTTCCCCCCTATTGTGACCCTCCTCCCTCCTTCCTCAGGGCTTCCCCCCTATTGTGACCCTCCTCCCTCCTTCCTCAGCACTACCACATATTCTAAACCCATGTTTTCGCAAGTCTACCCGCTATTATTTTGTTTACCATCAACCCCAACTCTTGTCTTTAGATTTTATTGTTATCATTTTGTGTCCGTTGACATTTAGCTGTGTTATGACCCCACAACCGGCGCTTCACCACATTCGTATGAACCCTCCATTACTCTGCGGCAGAGTTGAGTGTGTTGCGGAGTCGGCAGGCGCGGTTGGAGGGCGAGGTGGGGCGTGAGCGCGGCGCCCTGAGGGAGGCGCAGCAACGGCAGGAACGGCTGCACCGGGCTGTGGCCACGCTGGACGCCAGGCTTCATCAGGAGAAGCAGACGAGGGAGGCCACCACCCGCGAAGCCCACGCTGCAGAGGCTCTGCTCTTGGCCAACCTGCAGGTGCGTTCAACGGACGCTGTGTGACGGGTTTCTTCCCGCTCATCTCTCTCCTGTTCAGATCTTTGAATTTTGCCTTCAGAAGTATTTATTTTACCTATGGCTTTGTTCTTTTGTTTATTGTTCGCGGAACGCTGCGCATACTAGTGTCTTTAGGCATAATATATACGTGCTTTATCTAGAAATCCAACATTCTGCTTGTAACTCGTTTTGTGTGTAGGTACGTTTTCCTAAATTTTATTCTCATTATTATGTTGACCAGACCACACACTAGAAAGGGAAGGGACGACGACGTTCTAGTGTGTGGTCTGGTCAACAGATTTCAGCCACGTTATTGTGACTCATCGTCTTATTATTATGATTATAATATTACATTCTCGAGCATTTTTATATTTTAATTCATTCATTAATCATTTACTCCTGTATGTTCATGCTAATGCTAGACTAATGAGGACAGTCGTGGTGGTTCTTCGTTATCTCTGTGCTCGTGTTGCTTCTGTTTTTCACTCCCTCTTATGTTTTCGTTAACATACACATCAGAAAATAGTGGTGAGATAGTTTCAGTCTGTCCTGGACCTTTATCAAGTCGTGAATAGAAAGAGTGGTAGAAAAAGTATGGTATACTACTACAAATAGTTCACACCTTCGCGCCTTCTACCACATATTCTGACCCAATATATTGACTCAACCAATCTTTCTTTACAGGCCTTGATAATGGTCCAAGGCTGACCGAAACCTCGTCACCACTTTTATTTTCAGATGTGTGTGTTGCGTGTCCAGAGATTTCATGCTCTAGCCGAAGCTGCATTCTGTAAATAGACTTGAGCGATGTATTTAAAGCTCAGTAATTACAATATTTCTCTAGGAGCTGGAGAAGGAGGTGGCGAGGAAGGAAGGGGAGGTCGAGCACCTGAGGGAGAAGAAAGAAGAGGTGGAGGGGCAAGTGCTGGAGGCGACGCAGGAGCGAGCACAGCTGGAGAGGGTACTGGTGGAGCTACGTGACGCCAGGGACGCTCTGAGGAAGGAAACTGGAGTCGAGGGTGATCTGCACGCCATGAGGACGGAGATAACCCGCATGCAGGTGAGAGATGACCCTCCCCTCCACCTTACACACACACTCGCCCACTCGCTAAAACACTCGCTCACGTCAGCTGTGTATCAATGCCAGACTTAAAAACTACTTTTGTTCATCTTGATATAAGTGAGAACTAAAGGTCACGGGTCTGGTATCGCTGTACAGGCTCGGTGGCGCACACTGGAGGCGACGCAGAAGGAGTTATCTGGCCAGCTGGAGCAGAGTGTGAGCGTGGAGGGGGCCCTGAAGACCCGCACTCTGGCTACCGTGGAGAAGCTCAGGCGTGACCCCAACTCCGCCAAGGCCACCAGACTGATGCACGAAGACATCCTCAAGAGGAAGATGGCGAAGGCTGGGCGGGTCAGTTTTTGTCACCTCTCTTGTTATAATCATTCATTATAACTCATCATTGTTATGATGAATCAGATGTTCTGATAGGTATTGTATGATTGGCCACCACCTGGGGCCCTAGTACCGGTGATATGGCTCGAACACACACACACACACACAAAGAGAAAGACATAACCATAAAAACAGAAACCTGGAGAGAGAAAGGTAACAAGAGGAAAGAGATAGGTGGAAGGAGAGGGTGAGTGAGAATGGGGAGAGAGACCGACCCCGGGTACCGCCGAGTTCACCATCTAGTGTAATTATAGCTAAACTTTGGTCTCTAAGTCGTATCTGAAGTATCTTAAAGGTATATGAAGTATCATAAATTATATACCGAGTATGGTATATACTTTAAGAGAGTGAGTGAAGGAATACCATGTACTTGTAGAGACTGCGAGAGCTGCAGGCGGCGACGGAGGCAGCGAGGGAAGAGCGAGGTCGTCTGGAAGAGGAAGGGCAGCGCAAGGAAAGGCTTTACTCCCAAAAGGTCCGCCTCCTGCAGGACGCCGCTACGCACCTCGAGGAGAGACTCGTCAAGAAGCAGGAGGTACGGTCTTTATCTCTACTTCTGTCTCTGTCTCTGTACTAACCTGGCTGTGTTTGCTATATTGAGCATCGGTTCCTTAGTCTTGCCTTACGTACTTAAGTATTTTAAGCCAATGGCATTTCCGTAATTTATCCTATCATGTTGACCAGACCACACACGGTGTGGTGGTTGGAAGAGAACTTAAAGAGCGTCCCAACCACTCCAAATTTTCTAAGCGCATCTCAAGAGCCACTTGATGGCCAGTTCCGCTTGCTATTACTTTACCTCACACCGCCCTCAGCAATCATGAGTAGAGAGAGAGTCGTGTCTACCCGTGTGCCTTAGCGTGTCTTCACATGCAATGGTTTGCTTTATGCAACACCACGTCAGATTTAACATCACGATTTTGATAAATTTTCAAACGTAACTTTTAAAAATTTCATACTACATAACTCTCGAACCCGTTCAACATAACTATTGTTGACACGCCGTCAGAGGTCCCTGTGCGCGTGGGTGGGACCTCAGAGTGAATTGAAAGGAAGGGAGTTGGGTGTGTGGCGGAGATCACTGTCTGCCTGGGGTTGGGTCAGTGTGGGGGTCTCTGGATGTTATTGTGAGGAAGGGAAGGGGGGTCTGATTGTTTGTGGGGGTCGCTGGGTTGTGGTGGTTAAGGAACTAAGGTTAGGATGAGAGATCAGAAGGTTGATATAACACATTCATACCCGACAAACCTCTGAATGGAAGCTGAAACTGTTCAAAGCGGCACGCTGCTGGACATATTGAAGTCGTATTGTCAATTCTTGCATGATTCTGTAAAATAATACTGCATGATGTCAAGCCATGTTGCACTCAGAGCTGGACATTGTTGCTAGACAACACGGAAGGCGAAACATTCTTCACAGTCTGCCACCTTACACTTACGTTCTCTGCTACAGGAGCAGCTGCACCTACAGGAGTGGCGCGCGAGGCTGCGACACCTGACGGCGCTGCGGGATGGGCGATACAAGACGCTGGCAGCGGCGGGAGAGGAGGCGCAGCAGGCTCTGAGGTCGAGGCTGGTGACGCGGGCCCACGCCTACACGGGCGTGGTGACGCAGCTGGAGGCCAGCTACCCTCAGATGGAGGTCAAGCTCAGGAACATTAAGGGTCTCCTACAGAACTTCCTAGAGTGAGGAAGCTGTGAAGGAAGAAGAGCTTGGCCAATCAAAGCACTACACACGAGGCATACTTCACGCCATACCAGCTATGTCATAGTAACCTCCTCGCCCCTTCTGCAGTGTGATTGTGGTTGGTAATGTAAGCTGGACTAGTCCAGCCAAGTTACATTCTTCTCCTTCACATTAAAATCGTCTATAAAATAGTTGTAACTGCAGTAGCATTATTTAGCATCGTCCAAGACACGTGTTGCCAGGTACTGGAACAATTTCCAGTGTTTGGGTACCACAAAATTTACTATTGGTACTCATTGTACCTCTCATATGTATTGTGAGGCGATAATACAACCTTGGAGCACAGTACTGTGAGAGTAGCGGCATGAAGAACACTTCAGAAGGTATGAAGATCACAACAACACAACAGGTTTGCCAAGACAGCTGGGTTGGGTGGTGTAATGGTGCTTTATAGTTTAACTAAAAATCAGCATTTTTCACGTTGGAGTAAATTGCGAGAAAAAAATTGGTGTGTTAATTGGGAGGACAGATTGCTGGGGGTGACGAGACGTCGTTATCTTGAGGTTATCTTGAGATGATTTCGGGGCTTTAGTGTCCCCGCGGCCCGGTCCTCGACCAGGCCTCCACCCCCAGGAAGCAGCCCGTGACAGCTGACTAACACCCGGGTACCTATTTTACTGCTAGGTAACAGGGGCATAGGGTGAAAGAAACTCTGCCCATTGTTTCTCGCCGGCGCCTGGGATCGAACCCAGGATCACATGATCACAAGTCCAGCGTGCTGTCCGCTCGGCCGACCGGCTCCCTCGGTCGTGGCTCGGTATTCTGCACATATTTCACATTTGCAGACAAAACACATCCCAAAATTACTGTGAGTAATATTTTAGTATTGGTGGAGTATCTGTGAGTGTCCGTATAAGCTTAGGAGTGAGTGCTCAGCTTAATAAGTAGAGTAAGTCTCTCTTTTCTGTAAAACATAATTACTTGTCATACCTTTTGTGTTTTTGTATTTAGCATTTAAGTTCAATAAATTTAAGCAGAGTACAATCTTTCCCTGGTTCCAAAATAACGCTCATGTGTCCGATTTCCGATATTAACGATATTTTGAAAACTGCAGGGGGGTTTGGGCAAAATATGACCCATCGCCATTTTCAGTAATTGGCATATTTTCGGTATAAAAAGTCGTAATTTGAAAATGCAAATAGGTGCAGAGAGCCAGAATTTGGCTCCAAAATATGGCTCAGGCCTCGAATTTGGGATGTTTGGGATATTTTGAAAACTGCAGGGGGGTTTGGACAAAATGTGACCCACCGCCGCTTTCAGTAATTGGCATATTTTCGGTAAAAAAAAAGTCGTAATTTCAAACTGCGAATACGTGTAGAGAGCCAGAATTTGGCTCCAAAATATGGCTCAGGCCTCGAATTTGGGATGTTTGGGATATTTTGAAAACTGTAGGGGGGTTTGGGCAAAATGTGACCCACCGCCGCTCTCAGTAATTGGCATATTTTCAATATAAAAAGTCGTAATTTCAAACTGCGAATACGTGCAGTGAGCCAGAATTTGGCTCCAAAATATGGCTCAGGCCTCGAATTTGGAATGTTTGGGATATTTTGAAAACTGCAGGGGGGTTTGGGCAAAATGTGACCCACCGCCGCTTTCAGTAATTGGCATATTTTCGTTTTAAAAAGTCGTATTTTCAAACTTCGAATACGTGCAGAGAGCCAGAATTTGGCTCCAAAATATTACTCAGGCCTCGAATTTGGGATGTTTGGGATATTTTGAAAACTGCGGGGGGGTTTGGGCAAAATGTGACCCACCGCCGCTTTCAGTAATTGGCATATTTTCGGTAAAAAAAAGTCGTAATTTCAAACTTCGAATACGTGCAGAGAGCCAGAATTTGGCTCCAAAATAGGGTTCAGGCCTCGAATTTGGGATGTTTGGGATATTTTGAAAACTGCAGGGGGGTTTGGGCAAAATGTGACCCACCGCCGCTTTCAGTAATTGGCATATTTTCGGTATAAAAAGTCATAATTGCAAACTGCGAATACGTGCAGAGAGCCAGAATTTGGCTCCAAAATATGGCTCAGGCCTCAAATTAGGGATGTTTGGGATATTTTGAAACCTGCAGGGGTGTTTGGGCAAAATGTGACCCACCGCCGCTCTCACTAATTGGCATATTTTCGGTATAAAAAGTAGTAATTTCAAACTGCGAATACGTGCAGTGAGCCAGAATTTGGCTCCAAAATATGGCTCAGGCCTCGAATTTGGGATGTTTGGGATATTTTGAAAACTGCAGGGGGGTTTGGGCAAAATGTGACCCACCGCCGCTTTCAGTAATTGGCATATTTTCAGTATAAAAAGTCGTAATTTCAAACTGTGAATACGTGCAGAGAGTCAGAATTTGGCTCCGAAATATAGCTCAGGCCTCGAATTTGGGATGTTTGGGATATTTTGAAAACTGCATGGGGGTTTGGGGAAAATATGAACCATCGCCCTTTTCAGTAATTGGCATATTTTCGGTATAAAAAGTCGTAATTTGAAAATGAAAATAGGTGCAGAGAGTCAAAGTTCGGCTAAAAAATCATGTTCAAGATTCAAATTTCCGACATTTCAGATATTTTGAAAACTGCAGGGGGGTTTTTGCAAAATATGACCCATTGCCGTTTTCAGTAATTGGCGTATTTTCGACATAAAAAGTCGTAATTTGGAAATGAAAATAGGTGCAGAGAGTCAGAATTCGGCTCAAAAATCACGCGCAGGTGTCAATTTTCCAACATTTCAGTTATTTTGAAAACCGCTGGGTGGTTTGGCCAAAATATGACCCATCGCCGTTTTCAGTAATTGACATATTTTCGGTATAAAAAGTGGTTTTAATATGAAAATAGGTGCAGAGAGTCAGAATTCGGCTCGTAGATGACCAAGTGGGTTCACTTGTCCCCTAGAGTAACTTAGAGATGCCCAAAACACTGGCTTAAAATACCTTTACACGAAACACACACCTAGCTAGTAGTAGGGTGTGTTAATGAGTTCTTAACGTGTAGAATAAGCCCAGAATAAGGTAAGGGAAGAGAGGAGGAGGAAGAGGAGACAGCCACATAGGGAAATGTTGACATCTGCACAGCAGTCCAGACAAGACCGAGGGAGAGCCCAGTGACAGAGCTCTCTCAAGCTGCTGCCGGGAAGATTCCTAGCTGATCGTACAGCTATAAACATTACAAGTCTTCACCGACATTCAATACTGGTTAATTTAACAGTTTTTAGTTGATAACTGGTTCAATATTATATTTAATCATCAACAAGCTCAGGGTCTGAATGCTTTGTGAGAAACAAGATTCATTGTACGTTTGGCAAGGAAAACGAAACCAAGGTATGAGATGCTCTACGTATAAACGTTATTGTTAATTAAATGTTCTTCTCACATTATTTGGAACTCAATTTGACCTCTGGTTTCCAACTAAGAACCCAGGGTCGTAACAACTGCATAGTATAATGATAGGAAAAAAAGCACTGGAAATTAACTCCAAACATACAAATGGCGGATAATAGGAGCATCCACATTTAGACGAATATAAGGATATAGAGCCTAAACATGCCAAAGGCATGCAGTCTGGATAGGTAAATAGAATATTGAACAGATAAGGAACCCCGGAAGTGTACTGCATTTTCTGTGCCTCGAATTACATCCACTTAGCAGCTATTTGATGCCAAATTTTCTTATCGCACCTTTGCTTATCTGTAGGTTACCATGTGAGCCAGATACAGGAGAGTGATACTGATAACGTTCACCGCTGAGTGTGCCCGGGAGTTAATGGGACCATATATCTTATCTGTTTAGGTTGATAATGAGGCTGTGTAGGCTTCCTGTCATCACCAAGTTTAGTCTTTTATTTTAGAAGATTCTATAGTTTCTACACTAGTTTGGAGCAGCTATGATCGGGTAATACAAGCTCCGGGAAGTCACAATAACGTGGCTGAAGTATGTTGATCAGACCACACACTAGAAGGTGAAGAGACGACGACATTTCGGTCCGTCCTGGACCATTTTGGTCCGTCCTGGACCATTTTGGTCCGACCTGGACCTGAGAATGGTCCAGGACGGACCGAAACGTCGTCGTCCCTTCACCTTCTAGTGTGTGGTCTGGTCAACAAGCTCCGGGAACCTCTGCTCATACTGGACTAGCTCTACAACTTATTATTTAATTCAAACAATTAAATAATATGAAGACAGAATTTATTCTGAGCAGACAGTTAAAGTTTAAGTTATACATATTTCGTTTGAGATCATTAAAATAGAGAACAGTTCGATACATATGTTCATGCTACCGGAGCTGATGACAGTTTTGTCATTGTGAGTGTTATTGATGGTGGTGATGGTACAAGAACACTCTTTTTTGTCTATCTGGTTAATGTCACTATGTTTCATAGTGAAAACTGGACTGAAAACATTAATTAATAAATTAACAAATCCACAAGGGCCGTGACGAGGGTTCTGTGCGTGTCCCTTGTTCTGTCACGGCCCTTGTGGGTTTGTTCATTTGATGCATCACGCTATTGTGATTTCTGTGTGTAATTAAGAAATTATTAGCTAAATGGGTTGATCCAACATCGTATTTGCCTGGCAGACCCTGCAAGGCCTAGCATAAGTAGGCCTATACCATGTTGAGGCAACATCTACCAGGCGACGTTACCAGTCCTATCATCAGTAGGCCTACCATGGATGAGGCTTCATTAATCTGGCAGCCTCTGAGAGTATTGTTTATTGTGCTATATTAAGCATTCAATAAATGTTGCAGAACGAAAAAGGTCCCAAAGACAAGGAATTGTGCAAAACAACAGAGTATGGTTCAGAACCCCACAAATGACGCGAGGTTTAAGTCGTGTGTGGTGTTGCTCTGGGCATCATTGGCTACCACACTCCGTGTATACTGTTGTATTTACATGAAGAGTGTGCTCCCACTTGCTCCCAGTGGGCGCCCAGTTCACAAGCCTGTCATATTTACCACTGCACTACACCTGAACCATGGAATGTTGAGGATATATTTTATAATACTTTAAATTCTGGATTAATTTTCAACAATATCAGAGGGAAAGATATATTTGTATATTTCGTATTTACGCATAGGGATAAAGGTGCATAATGTTGTTGCATGGTGTAAGCACTTTGTAACTTTCCATTATATATATTGATATGATTTTTATAATGCTTAGCTGAATGAATTTATAGAGGTTCAGTTTAATAGTCGATGTGTGTGTGCGTCTGCAGTCTTTTTCATGATACTGCAAATGTATATTATACTTGAATGGGTACCCGGCTGTTCCTGGGTCTCTTCCTTGCCCTACACGACCTCGTCCCATCCTCTATCACTCTTCACTCCCTCTTCCTGCCCTTGTCCCCTCCACTCCCCCCTCTCGTCCCCTCATTTCCCACCCCCCTTTCTTTCCAACCCCTCTCAGAAAATATTTTATTACGAAGCACTGAAAGTGGTGAACAACTGTATGACAAACAAATATTTCAGACTTTAGGAGAATCGCAAGGGGGAGAGGGGGTGCTCTGTAAGTGCCGATATTTCTTGATGCATTTCACTTTGGGCAACACTGACTGGCCTGTGGCACTCCCCTACCCCACATGATCCATCCTGGCAAGTTGAGTGAGGCTGGACCCAAACATCTAGCCTCTATCCTCGGTCAAACATCCAGACATTCCATTTTATACATACCACTCAGAATAGGTATGCCCAGGGTGCATACTAAATAAACTTATTTGTATTGTACGTATGCATGTACATAAGGAAGTTGTAAATAAAATATCATGTATACAAATAATGATCAAATACAATAAAACTATATTGTAGTTTCGTGTGTGGAGCGCCATGCCAACCATATCAGATGGCAACTTTGTAACGCAGGTGGTGGGTTGGTGGGTGTTCAGTGGTGGGGGTGTACTGGGGTCGGGGAGGGAATGGCGAGGGGGTTATGTTGATGGGGAAGAGGAGGGGTGGGGGCCTTGGTGTGGGTTGGGGGGAGTCGACAATACCAGACACACTTCACCAGTTACCCTCCTGACTGCGTAGCGTTACTACCTTGCCGCTCCACCTGCCATTTTCCTCTTATCGTTTGTCTACTCATAATCTCTGAGTTAAAAACATATTATTGTGCATATCTAGAGCGAGGATAATGTGACACAGGAAGGGAACACGGCCAATATTAGCAGCAAATTGGACTCGTGGGTGCAGGACAATGATATACAAATTATTATAACATAAAAGTGATGACGCTTACATAAAGGTGATCTGGTGTTCTTACAAATAAAATGAAGACAATTGCAGTGAAGGCGGTGGTGTTGGGGACTCAAGGTAAGGCAGAACTAATGTCATTTTACTGATTAGTCTGAGGAATTGTTAATGTTATTTTCGATCCTGGTTTGATAAACTTCACAGACAGTTAAGCAAGTCCTAACTGCGTCTTGCTACAAGTGACGGAATTAACAGCCAGCAGGGTTTTTTACTATATTGTGGAGTGTAGTGTATGTTACGGCACACTCGTATATGGTAATATTAGTACCATTGTATTAAAATTATTCAAAATTGTTAAAAAAAAAGTTGGAAAGTGCACTGGAAGGTAATCACGAGAAGAATAATGGAGGGGGGATAAACTATTAATTGGGAATTTTTATAGAGGTCAATGTCAAGGTCACCAAAATAAGGTAAGAATTATACCAATTATTTAATTGGAAATAAATATTTGAAAGTAACTAAAATCAATCTGCCTGTTAGACAAATCGGGTCTTGCATTTTAGACCAAATAGTGCGGTCCTGGCTATTAGGTACGATATGTATATAGTCAGATATAATGTATATACACAGATGCACACAACCTGTACACCAGATGATTGACAGTTGAGAGGCGGGACCAAAGAGCCGAAGCTCAACCCCCGCAAACACAACTAGGTTGAGTACACCCGCACAGTTTCTGATCTCTGTGAAGTTATATAAATAATGTGATATCTTGACTGAAGGTTAAATGTAATGATACGCGGTCAATAGTCACGAGACAATATATCAAATGGGTAAAATATAAGATCTAGAGTGCTCGAACAATTAACCCGAATATAAATTTAATTGGTCATGGAGACACCATACTTTCGTACAGCAATTTGTGCAGGAACATGCTATGTAAAACCTCTCCAGGTCGAAATTGAAATAAGTTTATTGAGGTAAAATACACACAAAGGGATGAGGTAGCTCAAGCTATTCTCACCCCGTTCAGTACATCGTGTTAATACATACATACATACACGCACATCACAAACAATAAACATATTACCAAACATTCTGAGAGATAAACATATACATTTTCTACCTCCAGGTTTGTTCTCTGAATGTCAACCTCTCTCCCTAGGGGTTAGGGAGGGGGCGAATGTTTGTTGGGGGTGGAGGAGGAGGGGTTGACCGGGGGTGGAGAGGGGGAGTGCTACTGAGCATGATGCTAACAACGCATCCATTTGAAGAATAGAAATAGCCTAAGCTACTTTATCCATTTGAAGAATAGAAATAGCCTAAGCTACTTTATCCATTTGAAGAATAGAAATAGCCTAAGCTACTTTATCCATTTGAAGAATAGAAATAGCCTAAGCTACTTTATCCATTTGAAGAATAGAAATAGCCTAAGCTACTTTATCCATTTGAAGAATAGAAATAGCCTAAGCTACTTTATCCATTTGAAGAATAGAAATAGCCTAAGCTACTTTATCCATTTGAAGAATAGAAATAGCCTAAGCTACTTTATCCATTTGAAGAATAGAAATAGCCTAAGCTACTTTATCCATTTGAAGAATAGAAATAGCCTAAGCTACTTTATCCATTTGAAGAATAGAAATAGCCTAAGCTACTTTATCCTTTTGAGATGTATTTTATTGTCTGGATAAACGTACTTGAACTTAACTCATCCATGGATGGTGTTACCATCTACAAGGATTATGAGCTGGTAGTGTAAAGGAAGAAATGTTTATCACTCAAAATGTTCGGTAATATGTTTTTATATGTGATGTGTCTATTTATGGATGAATATGTTGTACTGAACGAGGTGAGGATAGCTTGAGCTACCTCATCCCTTTGTGTGTAGTTTACCTCAATAAACTTATTTGAATTTTAATGAGGTGGTAAATATAACCGGAGAACCGCCATGTATGGTGGCTGGTTGTCGCCCCCCACCCCCGTCCTATGCTCGAACCGCTGTCACACCTTCTGTGGTGTGATAAATCATTATCATACCGTTTGGTTTAATGTTGGGTTTAGCCAATAAATCGCAAGGGCTATTAAGGCCATTATAGTTGGTTACTGGCCTGTCAGAAAAGAAGTTGACTTGAAGTCCTCAATAAAGATCAAGACTAATAGATTAGTGTTTTCTCTGTCTCTGTGCATATATACATCCCTGGTATAGCTGACTGGGTATATCAATTGGTGTGTGAGGCATGGGGGTATTATATATTCCGCCCATGCAATCGTCACTGATAAATTAGATAACAGATATTACACTCAGAGGGCGGGAGATTACAGGAGCCATACTGTGTCTTGTGTCTCTTGGGGGGGGGGGGGGGGTGGAAGTTGGGTGAAAGTGCAGTAGTCCCTTTTGTTATGCAAGAGTCGTAGGTTATCTGTAGTTGTCCACTGTTGGGGATTTAACAGTCTGTAGTTAGTCCAGAGTTAATGTCGTGTAGGCCAGCCCGCGCTAATGGCTAATACAGACGACTTGTTAGCCGTCAGTTGGTATTATATTGACAAATACTACGGAGTACGGGCGATGCAGTTCTATGACATGCATAAAAAAATGTTAATGTTTGTTAAACTATGAGTCGTAAGGTGTTAGGTTACACTCCCTTTGTGTTCCTCATTCACCTCACTAATCCTAGTTCAGTTGATCCTCTTGTCTCCGTAGTCTTGCCTATACAATTGGATTTGTTGGTAGAGTGACTGCCTCACCGTTTGCAAGGTGGAGTTCGATCCCCGATAGTTCAAGTGGCTGGCTGGGAGTATCTAAAGAGTTACAGCTCCTGTGCCAGGTAAGTCCACTATGGGCTCACCATAGGCCGTGCTACTTGTCATTGCTGTTCCTAGTAGCTGAATCTGAAACAATAAACAACTTCGTGTCCTTCCAAGTGTTATATTGTAATTCTGGCTTGGCGCTTTCTTCTGATTATTACGTTAACTTAACAATCAGTGTCATTGTGCACTCGCCCCACCAGCGGTTGGGTCCGAGTTCGAGTTCTAGCCAGGAAGGATTGACTGGGTGCCACTTAACTGTTATCCCCAGTTTATCAATTCAATCCCTTTATTATAACTATTTCTTGCCATCAGAAGTTTTAAAAGCGGTTGTATTCACAGTATAGACTCGGGTATAGAATAAAAATACTGATGTGATTTATGACTTCAAAAGTAATACACCAAGTGAGGAAAGGAAAACCAACCCTTACACTAGAGCACAATGACCGCTACAGGTGAGGCCTTTAGAGTTATGCTCAAACTCTTCCGTCAACAAATTATAATAGATCATAGTCTAACGATCTAAGTAATATCATGTATATTTTATCAGTACTAAACTCTACTGATAAAATCCCGCTTTATACACAAGGGTAACTCCATACAATCCTTATGCAAAAACAAAAGAGCTGCAACGTTTTTGTTTTCTCTTCAGAAAAACTAGTAGTTTCAGTTCAACAGTTGTTAGTGTGGAACTGACTTGGTTGGATCAGAAATAGCACCACGTATCATTTAAGTTATCAGTGAAGCAACCACACGGCAGCCTACAGCATGTATGATGCAACGGCTGTCCTGCAGATAAGGTGTGACGATACTGGTGTTTAAATTCATTGTCCTGTCAGTTGTGTTGTCATCGTGTCCTTCGCTTGTCCTTGACAGTTCCGTGTCAGTTGACCCAGTACTGGATGTTGTTGTCTCTGCAAGACCATCGAGGCTGCTACGCAACAGTGATGGCGGGTCCTTGCAGACGATGACTCGCAATAACGTGGCTGAAGACGATGAGACAATCGACTTGAGAATGATCCAGGACGGACCGAAACGTCGTCGTCCCTTCACCTTCTAGTGTGTGGTCTGGTCAACGTGGCTGAAGATACGATGACCAAACCACATCAGAAGATGGAGAAACGTCGCAGTTTCGGTCTGTCCTGGACCGAAATCAAGTCGTATGTGACTCGATAATGGTCAAGGACGGACCGAAACGTCGTCTTTTCTCCGTCTTTTGCTGTGTGGTTTTTCATCAAGATGTTTCTTCTCTGGCCTTTACTTTACGCAATTCATTGGCGGCAGACAAACTGGTGACTTGAGAATGGTCCAGGACGGACCGGACCGTCGTCCCTTCATTTTCTAGTGTGTGGATTGGTCAACACAAACTAATTTCCCGTTCCCTTCTTCACCCTTCAGTGCCTTGAAGGTGAAGGTGGACTATAAGCAACAGTCCTACCGAGACTCTCCATACACCGTCCAACAATCCTAAGAGTGTAACGATCCCGAATTACAAACCTCCAACCGCCCCAGTTACCGTTACAAATTCAAATTCGAAAACTTCATTAATAAATGTTTGTACAGTTATAATGAGTTACTTTACACAGTGACACTACATTATTTACCCACGCGAATGTCATAATGACATAATATGAAATCATTTTAATTATATACTGTTTTTAATTATATATGGTAAGCTGGGATTGGTGGGGTCAACTCTGACCCTAAGTCAGTGTGTTTTAATTGTGTATCTTGAGCTCGGTTCATTTCTGAAGTAAAAATAATAATTGCTATTACAGGTGTGGGAAAGACGTCGCTAGTGACGTGCTACGAGACCAAGACCTTCCACAGGAACACCAGCTCCACCATCGGCGCCTCCTTCAGCAAGGTGGAAATATTCCTGAGCGGCACAAAGGTCAAGATGCAGGTAGGGAACTGTCACGCATGGAGGGGATGAACTGGGGGGACATCCCTTTCTCCTCCTCCTCTACCCACGGGAGACATCTCCAGTCACGCAGGGTGCAGTTGCACCTCCACAGATCTCAAGTATCAGCTCTTGATACTGGTAATGGCTCAAAAGGGCCACCACTTACGGGCTATTCATGCCCGTGCCACCTTTTGGGTGGCTTAATCTTCATCAATCAATCCTCCTCTAATTACACGCCGAAATTTTAGCACCGCCCCTGTGCCAGTTAAGTACACTACGGGCTCACCATAGCCCCTGCTACTTGCCCCGTTCCTGTGCCAGGTAAGTTTCGGGCTTGCCATAGCCCGTGCTACTTGGAACTTGTTCCGAGTAGCTGAATCTATAACAACATAATTACACGATCAAAGACCTGTTGATGGGATAAGAGATCAAGCCACCCAAGAGGTGGCACGGGCATGAATAGCCCGTAAACCAAAGACCACATTCACTCCAAACATCTACCACCTCCCCATGCTCGTGTCACCTCTTGTGCCCTAATCGTCATTGGTAAAGCTATCTTCTCTTAAGCTAGGTCGCTGTGGGATGAAGATTGAGAGTTCATAAATGCATATGCACAAATAACAAAAGCGTGATATATCCATGAGGAAATATTGTTCAGGTACGTAGTTCGATCCCAACATAAAGCTTCAATATTATTTTTTGTAAGAAATGTTCATTAGATAAGAGCAGTTTTCTTTTATCGGCCCACACGGGAGACATCTCCCGTCACCCAGGGTGCAGTCGCACCTCCATAGATCTCCAGTATCATCTATTGATACTGGTAATGGCTCAAAAGGGCCACCACTTAGGGGCTATTCATGCCCGTGCCACCTTTTGGGTGGCTTAATCTTCATCATCATCTTATCGGCCCATTTTAAAGCCTAGGCGTGTGGGGGGTGCCAGAGCCGATGGTGAATCCACAGTGATAATTATTTGGGCAGTGTTAAATGTCTGCTCTAGTTACATTAAGTAATTATGCGGGATATAATTATATTTACACGAACAATAACGCCCAAGAGTGTTGCAGTACAGTGGTTTACGTCCTCGACTCACAATTAAGGATCTAGGCTTAGACCCTTGAGCCAGACACAAATGGTTGAGTACGTTTCCATTCACTGATGGCTCTGTTCATCTAGCAGTAAATAGGTACTTGGGATTTAGTCAACTGTTGTGGGTTGCTTAAAAGGAAAAGTCGGTTGTTGATTTAGGGAGACCTCGATGAACCTAAGTACAGGCTTCCTGTCCCAAACAATGAGAATTAACCCATTATTGTCTTGAGCTCCTTGCTACACTTCCAAGATCTTCGAAACTCTCCAATTTCTGTCCGAGACTAATGTGATTGAACAAATCCACAAGGGCCGTGACGAGGATTCGAACATCCGGGAGCATCCCAGACACTGCCTTAATCGACTGAGCTACGACAGGGTTAAGAGTTGAAACCTCAGTGTCTGGGATGCTCCCGGACGCAAGTTCGAATCCTCGCCACGGCCCTTGTGGATTTGTTCATTTGATTCATTACGTTAGTGTGATTTCTGTGTGTACTAATGTGATTGTTTTGTTTTAGTATATGTGACACTTTGAGGTATTTCTGAACAGTGCAATCTTGCAGGTGTGGGACACAGCCGGACAAGAAAGATTTCGCTCTATGGCGCCCATGTACTATCGAGGAGCCAATGCTGCTTTCCTGGTGTTTGACTTGACAAAATATGACACCTTTACTGACGTGCAGTCTTGGGTTAATGGTGAGTTGATAACTATTGTTTGTGCAGTGACAATAACGAGGCAGAATACAAAATAACGGAACACAAACATGTGAAGAGAGATAAATTGTCATCTACACTTGCGTGGAAATAAACAAACCAGGGTTCGTGGTTCGAGACTCATACAACTCTGGTGAATGAAATGTAAAGAGATCATTAACGAGTGACGACGTATTGGTCCACATCTTTGACCCTTATCAACATGAAAAGGATGGAATTAAGTTTCCTCACTTTCCTTTTTTCTTAGTTTGTGTAAGTTGGGTTATTAGGTGCTGTTTGCTTCCAGCTGTTTTTAGAACACCTGAATGGATTTGGAACTTGTACCTAGGATTGTTGACTTGTATCAAGTCAACAATCGACTTGAGAATGGTCCAGGACGGACCGAAACGTCGTCGTCCCTTCACCTTCTAGTGTGTGGTCTGGTCAACAGAATGTATAGAGTGTGGCTGTTGTTGTATAAGATTCAGCTACTGGGAACAAAAAGTTTCAAGTAGCACGGCCTATGGTGAGCCCGTGGTGGACTTACCTGGCATAGTAGCGGGGGTTGTAACTAGATTGTGGTGGGAAAGTTTGTTTACAAAACTCTTAACCCATGCGTGAGAGTGATGAAGGCTTACTTCCTCCACCACCGTGCAGCGCTGAGCTTAGCAACAAGTTCACCACCACCAATCATCACTAACATCATAATGGGTTAATAATTATAACGAAATATTGTTTTCAGATCCATATTCTCTCTAGTGGACACCACATGTGTGTGTGTCTGGTAAGTCACCGCTTATGGTGGGCAAGCAGTGGATTTGTTCCAAGTTGGGTGATTGCCAGAGGCAATATTTTACCTTCTCTGTGCCCTATTTGGGATGGTTATGTTTGGTCGCAATCACATGACATGTTGGTCAATTGATAGGCATCACTAATGCCTGTCACCGAAGTTACAGCCACGCTCCTGTGCCAGGTAAGTCCACTACGGGCTCACCATAGCCCGTGCTACTTGGAACTTTTTGTTCCCAGTAGCTAAATCTATAACAACATGCCTGTCGCCACCACGTGTTCTCATGTTGGTTAATCATGCCAACTAATACCCACACCACAGCTGTGTCTGGGTACAAGTGACAGGATGAACAACCCAGCGGGTTTTCTTCCTATTGGGGAGTGTTGTACATGCTGCTATGGCGGTGTGTTCACTCACAGGATGAGTGGCGCTGCCCAATACTGTCACTATGGCGGTGTGTCCACTCACAGGATGAGTGGCGCTGCCCAATACTGTCACTATGGCGGTGTGTCCACTCACAGGATGAGTGACGCTGCCCAATACTGTCACTATGGCGGTGTGTCCACTCACAGGATGAGTGGCGCTGCCCAATACTGTCACTATGGCGGTGTGTCCACTCACAGGATGAGTGGCGTTGTCCAATACTGTCACTATGGCGGTGTGTCCACTCACAGGATGAGTGGCGCTGCCCAATACTGTCACTATGGTGGTGTGTTCACTCACAGGATGAGTGGCGCTGCCCAATACTGTCACTATGGCGGTGTGTCCACCCACAGGATGAGTGGCGCTGCCCAATACTGTCACTAAGGCGGTGTGTCCACCCACAGGATGAATGACGCTGCCCAATAAACTCGCCCCTCGAGGCAAAATTTAATTAAAAAAACACACAACCAAGATATTTGTATTTACTGCAGTCAAATTATTCTTAAATAGTTTTGATTATTGAAGGTTTTGACGTGTTCTTGGCAGAGTTGACGACCTGTGTGGGTGATGGACTGATGCTGGTGGTGGTGGGTAACAAGAAGGATCTCCAGGATGACAGAGCTGTCGACACCAACACTGCAGAAGAATATGCTGACTCCATAGGAGCTGCCTTCGTGGAGACATCTGCTCGTGATAACTCGGGTATGTTGTCCTTTTTTGTGTGTAATTACCTATTTGTGATAACCTTAGTTACCTATGTATGATAACGTTAACTACATACAGTATTTGTGGGATGTTTTGTCATCATATAATTATCACTTTCGCGCTCTTGGCAAACGAAAATTAAACTTCTCTATGAGCGCTGCGTTTCGGGCGATCGAGCGGCTACATTGAAAAGTGTGTACTCTTTTCACTGTCCTGACATTAATTTTCGATGTACGTATTTCATTTTTGTACCAATGTGTTTGCAATAGAATGTTCTAGAAGAACATAAGTATAAAATGTCACCAAAGCATGAGTTAGACCAGCACCAAATAAAACTACGTCGATTACACTCGTCGTGTCAATACAAAGGTCTTACCACGATGATGCAATGCCATGCCGTTCTCCCAAACAGGCTATGCGGCTATTAGAGAAAACGAAAATTTCATGGCAAACATTTGTAAACTATCCCAAAGTCGATCAGATAAAAAATGGATTTTATAAAAATATTTTTTCTCGTGACTCGAGTCCGCGTCACGAACTCGCTCACAACACAAAAATGGGTAACGCTCTTGAGCATTACCTCGAAAGTTTTACGTCTACGTTTACATATACGATTTACTTTAGGCTTGTAGTGGTTTCACATTGAACAGAAGGCTCTCTCTTCGTGCACGGTTACTTTCCTATACAAAATTAAATAACATGTAAACTAAACTTTACGTATATTGAGTAAAATAAGGCTATGTACCAGGTGCCTTCAATAAACTAATTAGTTCCACACATAACAAACCGCCTATTTAACATGAATAGTTAATGCTCTCGCCATTTTACAAACTATGAATGCTTGGAATGTGGAATTATGTATAAATATAACCCCAGAAGTTTTTAAAACATGTGAATGTAGAGTTTGTGGAAACCCGACTCTGCTGAAAATGTGGTTGTTGATGTTTAAGATTCAGCTGCTGGGAACAAAAAGTTCAAAGTAGCACGGGTTATGGTGAGCCCGTAGTGGACTTACCTGGCACAGGAGCGGGGCTGTAACTTGAAAATGTGGTGTATGTGAAACTTATCTGGTCGCCCAGCATCGCTCGAGGCTGGTCGGTTCACTACTGTTTTGGAGACATTAATCCCGAATATAATGCCCGAAACGCTGCGCGTACTAGTGGCTTTACAAGAATGTAATTAATATGCTATGTATCCTCACAATCCCAATGTACCTTCTTGTATATATATAAGTAAGTAAATAAATAAATCCATCTTGTCATAATCACTATTTTTGTCTCCCTCCTTCCCAAAAAATCTTGTTCTCTTATGTATACCAAATGTTTTCAGGTGTGGAAGACATGTTCAACATAGTGGCTATTGAGATGGTCAGACGAGCTGAGAGTGACGAAAATTCCAGTCTTAGAATATATTCATCTGAAGTAAGTGGTTTTATTAATGTTTTGTTAGTTTTGGCGTGGGAATGTTACGACCCCACCATTCTATGGTGTTCCTATCTGCTTTGAATCCCCCTGTGTTCTAATGTGGGGGGAGAATAGGCCAGTTTTCACATTTTCTAACTATTATAATCTAAAATAGCCTTCAGTGTGGGTATTTTAAATTATAATGTGGCCCAGGCCGCACTTGGCCTGGGCCCAGAAAGTTGAGGTTGCTTTGGGCGGGTATGAAGAATGTGAATGGAATACATTGAGAACAGAAGCAACTATAAGGGACAATATTTTTTAAAGACAAGGAAGTTTCATGTGCTAGCTTTATGCAAGAAAAAGATAGTGAAATTGTAATTGAAGAGTGGAATGAAGTAAATGTTATAAGAACAGTGAATGAAAATAAGAGAAGGCAGGAGTACCCTTGTTAATAGTAGAATGAGGCAGTGAATCTCATTACAGTTCAAGTGGAAAAAGTATGAAATTAAAAATAAAAACTTTGATTGCAGATGGTTGTGATGGCAGAAGTGAGAATTTAATTTGGATGTTTTTAGAAGCTTAGAGAATAAGACTGTCTAATACCTAGCAGTTTTAGAATAATAGGATGATTTAAATTATGAAATGGGAATAGACTCCTGAAACATTAGGAGTGGAAATAGTGCTCGTAATAAATGACCATGGCTGTAAAATGAAAGATTTATTAATTGAAAGACTATACCTTACACTGTAGCGCTGAATGAGTGAAAACTGGTAGTTGAGTACGAAAGACAGAGTTGCTAGTCATCTTGGATAAGGTGAACAAATGAAAATTGACATTGGGATGCATACAGGGATTTTTTTGGTTAATACGAAAGTGTAAAGTTGCTCAAATAGCAGACAAATTTAAGGAACTGCTTGGTGGGAGGAGGAAGTGGCAAGAGCTGTTGATAATGCGAAAATTACTTGGAATTTTGTGATGCAAAGTGAACGAAAGAGGCATGAAAGTGAAAGAATAAGAGTATGTGGTATTTAAAAGTTTAATCAAGCAGTAAAAATGGACAGAATGTGGAGTTAGGAATTTTGTTTTTTAATTATTCAGAACAAAGGAAGCTTTTGATTTTTTTTAAAGGAAGTAAGGTGTAGTTACAGGATGAGCTACGCTTGTGGTACCAGTCTTCCCAATAATCTTTCATACGCCGTCTTGAAACTACTGATTCTTTTGGCCTCCACCACCTTCTCACTTAACTTGTTCCAACCGTCTACCACTGTTTCCAAAAGAGAACTTTCGTATTTTTATTTTCGACACCTTTGTTTCCTTCGCTTGTCTCTATGGCCTCTTGTTTTAAAGTTACAGGTTGCAAAAAGTAAGAGAGAGAGAGAGTGTGTGTGAAACTGACTATGCCTTCGTTTGTCACCAGAGTTCAAGTAAAATAACTATTACAAGGCCCCCTAAATTTTGGGGAGACAGTATGTTAAAATTGCAAATGTTTACAGTAGGGGAAATTTTTATACTCTTTGGATATATTTTTGTTTTTGGACTGGGTGAGGGATTAGTGAGAAGGCTTAGCTAAACTGGGAGATTAAAGAAAATATATTAATGTCTTTCAATATTAGGTGTCTGGGTCTAATTATTATTTGATTAAATATATTTTCCCTCCTGCTTGACCTTATTTTATTAGTATGTAATTCAAATAGAATATAATTGTCTCGCCTGCCCTAGACATTGATGGAATTCACATTATTTTTAAATACTTGTCCCAGTAAAGTTCCACGCATTCTAAGCTATAAATTTGCAAGCACAGATATAAACGCATAAAAATAAATGAAACGGCAGAAGGCCTATTAGTCCATACGAGGCAGCTCCTATTTATATCCACCCAAACTCATTCATATATTTGTCTAACCTACCCTGGAAACAATCCAGTGATCCGCCGTGTAATTATTAACCTGATTAGTTGTTCCATAACTCAACCCATTTCCAAACGTCATGTTGGCTCCACTGTGGAACTTACATTGTGCATTGTGTTATGCAGACGAGGAGTCACAATAACGTGGCTGAAATATGTTTACCAGACCACACACTAGAAAGTGAAGGGACGACGACGTTTCGACCATTCTCAAGTCGATTCTGATTGTGTCACACAATCGACTTGAGAATGATCCAGGACGGACCGAAATGTCGTCGTCCCTTCATTTTCGAGTGTGTGGCTTGGTCAACATCAGGTTATCTTCTCTACAGGGAAAGAATGAATGGGATGACAGTGCGTCATCGAGCATCACTTTAAGTGATAGTTCTGTGCTGGAGAAGAGAGATGGATGCTGCTAACGTCATCACAATAAACTGCTGAAAATTTCTATGCCAAAAATAGTATTTTGAGTAAATCTTCCTAAACAGGAAAGTATATTGAATATTTTAACAAATGCATGTCACTAGGAGAATGTGAATTTTAGTATATTTATAAAATATTTTTAATAGAAATTGCCCAAAGACTTATGTAAACTGAGAACTGAATTAATATTAAAATTGAATTGAATAAATAACTTCTAATGTTTCTTGCTAGGAATAATATTTAGGTTTACAATTTGGTTAATGGATTATATTTTCTTTCCAGATAACAAATAATATATTATTTACATGAAATAGAATAAATAGCCTAATATTTGTCTTTTTGTATATTTTTATAAATATTTTTATTTACAATAATCAAAATATACATTATCTGTTACATAATAATATATTATGTAAACTGTATTATTGCATATTAGATACTATAATCATTTCTTAAAATTACAATAAAACTCAATTGAAACATAACACACTATTGAAATAATAACACACTGGCTTTTTTTTTTTTTTTAAGAAAAGGTCAGTCATGTCTGTCTGTCCGGCACTTGAAAGCAACTATGTGGAAGACTTTTGGATTTGGAACAAAGCAAAAAAATACACACGATAAAAAGTTTCTAGGTTACATAGGAATATTATATAAAAAAAGAGGCAAACTTATGTAAATGCTGTACAAGATTTGGACAAAATAATAAGAGGCAAACTTATGTAAATGCTGTACAAGATTTGGACAAAATAATTCTGTAGCGAAATTATTGCATAACTAGACCTCGGTATATTATTTCTTCAATGTTTGTGCTCTTTTGTACTTTCACTCTAGAGGATGAAAACAAAGCAAAAATGTAAATATTCTACAGTACTTGTAAATCACGTCATTTGGAGATTGTCTTGGTAAATATTATAATAGCCAAAGGATTCAAAGACTAGCAAATATTGTACAATGTAGAACAGCGTAAGAATGTTTGTGGAACACAACAGTTGTGGGACATTGCCCAATTAGTTTTCTGTGCAATATGATGGTTTACAACCAAGTTCCAAGTTTCTACCTAATGAACAGGACTGACCACTTAAGGTTTAGTGCCCAACCGTCCCTCATTGTACATGGCTCCAGGAAAAGTAATCATTAAGAGAGCTCAAAGCCAGTATATCACTTAGCAGTGATATAAGTACAGAAACGAAGTAGTAGTGACGGCCACATCCCTTGTGCCAGGCGAGTGCAACGGGCTCACCATAGCCCGTGCTACTTGGAACTTATTGTTTCCAATTAGCTGAATCTAAAAGTGAAGGAACGATGCCCTGGGACAATATCGCTTGCGAGGTGTGTGACCAAACATCCTCTCACTGCACGACAGGGATTGTCATGTTCTATACATTTTGGCTTGCTACTAATATAAAAAGATAAACCTTTGGTATGATAGTTCACAAATTGCTGAAAGGAGAACATGGAAGTTGAAACAGCCTTAAAAAAAGGCAACCTGACTAGAAACAATCAAATATGAGGACACTACAGTGGTCATTCCACCTTCAAAAATATCTTATGCGCCCCACATTCACAACAAATTCGAGCATTGAAATCAAACCTATAGAGAGACTAGGCTTTCTCACTGCAAAAAGTTCAGTGACAAAAATCATATTTAAATTATCAAATTATCAAGGTAGTCTGAGAACTGCAGAACTGTCACGTTTTAATAAGGCACAGTAAGTTCACAGAACTTTGAGAACAGACGATATGTGAAGAAATAACTTTGAAACTCTGTCAAACCACGATGCAGTTCAAACTATAGAAAACTGTCATCAAAACTTCTAGTTCTGATGTCTGGCCACCAGAGCTAGAGGACCTGGCTACAGTTTATAAGCTTCGCATGGACTGGGACAGTATTGTTACCACAGAAATGATATACTGTATATGCATAGGTGTACTCCATTTCTCAGTGCATGTACACTGAGGGCACTTTAGTCCTGGACATGACCAGAATGTACCTGCTGGTTGGTCAGTAAGCTATTGGCTGCAATAGCTATCCAGACCTCAGAGGTGCAGAGGTCTTGAGCCCAACACCAAACTAAGCCTATTAGGCTCACATAGGTCTAGGGCCTAAACCAACCACTAATCTATTTACTGGTAGGTAAACAGGTGCATCAAGTGTAAGTAAATGTGCCATAACGTTTCATCCTACCCGTTTGTAATTATTTTTGTACTTGGGTGATGAATTAAACCTCTTGGGCCTCCTATACTCACCAGAGTCGGTATACACAATGATCAGCAGGTACTTGTAGGTGTAAGACTCTTCATTACTATAAACAATGTATTTTAGATCGCCTTCTGTTAAAGTGCCACAATGATCCATATTTATTGCCTCAGCGCCTTGATAATTATTACTCCATATTACCATTTATCATTTTCATTACTCTGTTTTTGACACATTGTTCAAAATAAATATCTAAGCTAAAATTCACATATTTGCCTGATTATCATGTACTCGTGAAGACTCATTTTCTCTTAGCCTCAGTAAAGACTCTGAGTAGGAACTCTCCAGTCATCTCTGGTTCAAAGGTTGACGGTATGATGACATAAAAGCCAGGAGGGAAACGGAATCTTGTGGTAATTTCACGAGTATTGAGGAAGAAGGGAACTTTAGCTATGCTGGGATTATACTTGAAGAACTCTGTGTCCAGCTTCTTCCCAGGCTGAACATCTGGTGGCAGCTGTGTACAAAAGAAAACTGTTAACAGATGTACTTGATAGTTATTATTTGGTGGACTATAGAAATGATTATTATTTGGTGGACTATAGAAATGATTATTATTTGGTGGACTATAGAAATGATTATTATTTGGTGGACTATAGAAATGATTATTATTTGGTGGACTATAGAAATGATTATTATTTGGTGGACTATAGAAGTGGTTATTTTGTGTTTTATATTAAGTGCAATGTTTTACAATGTTGACCAGACCACACACTAGAAGATGAAGGGACGACGACGTTTCGGTCCGTCCTGGACCATTCTCAAGTCGATTGTGAATGGTCCAGGACGGACCGAAACGTCGTCGTCCCTTCACCTTCTAGTGTGTGATCTGGTCAACATACTATCACCACGTTATTGTGACTCATCGCCTGCATGTTTTACAATGCTCTTTTCACACTACATTACTCACAGATTTATACTCATTAACTTACGGCATCCATACCTAGTGCTCATCCACCACAAACTACTTTAAATTTATCGTCAATCAGCATAAACCAGCTCTCAGAACCACTACTGAACCAAAATCTGCCCGAAACGCTTTGCGTAATAGTGGCTTTAGGCATTGTATGTACTAGCTCTATCTATAATTCCATCAACTTTGTATCTTGTATGTATGTACCTTACCTGAATAAAAAATTTAATTTAATTTAAAACTGTCTTCACACAACGAAACATACTCCATACATTCTCTCGTGGTCTTCACACTTACAAAACTCTATACCCCAGTACTAACCCTGAATCTGAAATTCCTCCTTGAGGGATGTAGTGGAAAGACCTATCATTGATTCAAGAAAATAATTATAAATTTAATAACAGTCCATAAACTTATTTAATATTTATCTTTGAAATACTTTCACAAGGAAGTGGTTTAATTTTTTATTAGCTTTTTATGAAATATTATTGTTTTCAAACAAATTATGTGTATATTTTGTAATTGTTTATCGTAGTATTTGTTATTTGAACGCACCTTGTATATCGTAAAGCCAATTGGGACGTAGTCAACCCCATAACGTTTAAGTTGTCTGACATTCTTCTGCATGAGGGAGACGACCATAGTACAGAGGTCGTCGTCGTCGTCCACGTCTGGGTCCTCCAGCTGGACGGTGTACTGCGGGTTGCTGGCAAATGTGTCTGAAAATGGTGAGGACGTAATGTAAATATTACACATCAAGATCTATTACACAGCTTCAAACTATTTAGCATGGGAGTAATGATACAGTATTGTGTTATCGAACATTCTTAGGTGTTCTGCGACAATGTACATTCTTGTTAGAACCCTATAGTGATAAAGTCCTTCACTTCTATTCCCAATATTTAATTTGTATTTCAATCTTCTCCTTTCCTCAAATCTTTGTGCTGTCTTTTTCTATAATATTTTTCCTGCACCGCTTCATACGATTGTTTAGGCTACTGTTCATGTACCAATGTCGTTGTTAGTTTAGTTCATTTATTATGCACCCCATACCCATCTTGTGGGCGGTAGTGGAAAGGGTTACAGAGGCACATAATGGGCTCAGGGACTGAACCCCACAATTCATTTAGCTAAGCAAGTTACAATCTTGATGAGCTAGTTAGAAAATTCAATATAAGTCGTCACATCATCAATGGGTTCGAGATCGACCACAAGTACAGTTTCTAAATTAAGCAACTGACATATGTGGAGAGCTAGTGTCACAATTGATATGTTTGTCCTGCACACCGCCCCCCATCCAGTGGGCAGCGGTGGATAGGTTACACCGCCCTCCATCCAGTGGGCAGCGGTGGATAGGTTACACCGCCCCCCATCCAGTGGGCAGCGGTGGATAGGTTACACCGCCCCCCATCCAGTGGGCAGCGGTGGATAGGTTACACCGCCCCCCATCCAGTGGGCAGCGGTGGATAGGTTACACCGCCCCCCATCCAGTGGGCAGCGGTGGATAGGTTACACCGCCCCCCATCCAGTGGGCAGCGGTGGATAGGTTACACCGCCCCCCATCCAGTGGGCAGCGGTGGATAGGTTACACCGCCCCCCATCCAGTGGGCAGAACTAGTGTTTTCCTGAACCTTTAAGCTTTTAACTGTTTTCATCCTTTAGTTGTCAAGATGCAACACTGGCTGTACCTCGTTTTCAACAGATTTAAGACTTGAGTTCTAGTTCCAGCCGCCAGTGACCTCGCGGGTGCAGCTCTTATCAGTAGGCTGTCCGGCGTGTCCCTTCTCCCAGAAGTAAATTCATTACTCTCATTTCTACAGATTGGTTTCCCATTGTTGGGACAGGATATCTGTTAGGATCATCTAGGTCCCCCCCCCCTCCCTTCTACTCAAAGATGCTACCCACAACAGTGAAAGGAAACGTTTTTCTGTCCTGCCGCGGGATTCGAACCAGTTGGACCTGATTGTGCTGATCATTGTGCTAAGAATAGCATTAAATTACGTAATATCAAATATGACCTATACCCGTGGCGCGCACAACT